GTTTCCGGTGAATTTTGTATTGAGTTTCTCCAGATCAAATACAAATTAGATTAGTACTTTAATTGTAAAGGTTTTATAAGAATACAACATAATACATCTAATAGGGGCCATGTTAATCTGCAACGGTGCTGAAATGATGTCTCGTTATGGACACAACAAAAGAGGTATTTTTCTCAATAGAGCCATGTGACGCAAAGGTATAAAAAGGGTTGAAAAGAGCTGGTGTTGGAGGCACAATGTTGTAATTAGGAGAATCAGCGGGACAGTTAAGAGGTGAAGAGAAAACTTTGATTCGGAAAGAAAAAAGGCTTGAGGGGAGGGGAAGGAAGTAAATTGTTAAGGCAGCGTTGCAATCAATGGCATTTTTCTTTAAGGTTTCTCTGTGAGCAGGAGACGGAGAAGGTTATGCAGCACAAACTAAAGTAGGATGGAGAAGAAGGAGGGGGAAAAAACAGAAAAGTGCCAAGTCAATACCCTGCAGATGCATAATGCATAGATTAAGGTTGAGAAGAGAAATTGGCTGCGGAGAGATACTGTCGACGGCATCTACTGTATGTGAACATATTTTCTGTGCCAGGGTAAAAAAAAAACAAGGGGATGTTTTTTCATCAAGAAAAAAAGGAAGCAGTGAATTGGAAAGATAGTCCACAATTGGGACTGACAGATATTTCACATTTAATATTGTTGATGGAGTTAACACTGACCAGACTTCTTCAATATCCAATTTGACTCAGCGTAGCAGAAAATGTGAACACAAGAGTCATTTTTCTGTTTAACCTGCACCACTTTCCGAGATTATAGAAATAAATGAACACGGCGTCGGCGGGGAAACATCGAGATTGACGGCTCGGCTTAATGAAAATGCACTAAACACGAATTGGGGTTATTAAGCTGTAAATTGGTGTGGGACTGGTATGGGCTGAGTTTGGTCACCGGGCCCTGAGTGAGACAGAGAGAAGTTGAGAGACCAAGTTTGAGCAGAGACTGAGACTCTCTGGAGATGTGGGTTCATATAAGAGAGATTGTGAAAATCCTCCTGTTTCTCCAGTGAAGCACGACAGATTTCTACACTCTGTTCGCTCCCTTATTGACTTCTTATCAAAAAAAAAAGGCAGCACCTCTTTTTTTTAACATATTACAAGTTTCTTTTTTCACAGTCACTAAAATCCTTTCGTCTAATCTCGAGACATATTTTATTTTATTACGAAATTATTCTAAAAATACATTTTCTTTACATATGAGCCAAACGTACGAGCTCGCCTTTTCTTATTTAATAATTCACGCACAAAGCATCATGCGTAAATGATATCTGTAGCTGGCTCATCAACAGCTGATTTAAGTTATGTAAAATAGCCCAACTGCAATTTATAGAGCCCCAATTTTGTTTTCTTCAATTGCATGGACATATTCAGTAAGGAGGAATATTTTCTTGGATTGATTTTATTAGATGTGGATACAGAACGACACAGAGAAAGAGAGAGAGAAAATAATGTCTGGATGAGAAAGAGGACTAGATGACCAGGGTAGGCAGAGATATGGGGAGAGGAGTAAGAATGAGTGGTGATGTTCCAAACAAGAGACAGTGTTATAAACCATGGTCCATCACTGAGAGAGGCTGGTAAAAGCCTCATCTCAGGCTCAGAGAGACTTCAATTTCTGGAGTTACCAACAGGTAGTTGATGCATTTCCCCAGGACTTCTTCCATTATAACCATTTCCCACAGTAACTGTCGGCCTGGAGTCCAAATGCTAACACATACTCGATGTGTCCCCCGATGCAATTCGGGGGAAGAGAGCAAGAGAAATTCTGATTTTATTTCAGGTCACACTGACCCACCAAAGGCCACTATGACTAAGTAGTTTGCTATTTTGTAGCACTTTCTCAAAGCTTGGGGATCCTTTCAACAGACTCTTGAGTCTCACAACTGTGAAAAGTAGTGTAGAACTGTGGTCTTTACCCAGGCAATATCCATTGTGCCTCTGCTGACAGACAGAAAAATGGCTGACAGTTGACTCAATAGAAGCTGTGACAAATATATGATTTAATAGAATACAAAGTTGTAGCAGACACTAAATACTTGCTATTTATTAATTCAGGAAAATAGACTTGGTATAATTTGAGCCAATGTGGCATGTTTTAGTTGTACTATCAATACAGAAAGTTTAGTGTGAATGAGTGACACAAATGAATGAAGGGAACAGTGAGCGGGTTAAGGCACACCACTACGTTCAGGTATCCAATAGTCGTTTTCAGACATGATTTCCAAAGGAAGTCCGTAGAATTGGGTCCTTTCCAAACATTAACAACGTAGATATGTGTTCCATTTTAGTTTTTTAATTTTTCCATTTTGGCATTTCTGCACTGTCTTCTTTTGTTTTTAGATGACCTCCACTAACAACTGCCTGAAGCAGAAAAAAGGAATCAGGCGGGAGGAAACACGAGAACATTTGTGATTGCACGGGACAATGCACCAGTTCACCATTCACATGCAATCACAAACCCAGTTTGCCGCCCATCCGGGAAAGGTTTCCATTTTCTTTCCTCTGCTACTCTCCCTTTCCTCGAACCCATTTAGAATTTTTTTCTCCTGCCTGGAGGTGGAGAGTGTATGATCATCAACCACAAGACCAAATGTCCCTCCTGGAGGCAGAGCATGACGGCTGCAGGGACATCTCCGCTAAAGGCTGCCAGAAGTGGACACTGCATGCCAAGTGGTTCTTTCACAGATGCACCTCGAGAGACGATACAAGATGTGGTGTGGATGAGAATATGTGGCCAAATCTCCGACACTTGACAGATTTGAACATTTGTGTTTCCCCCCATCAAAATCATGGATTTTATATGATTGACAATGAAAAGTGTGTTTTAACAGAACAGCAAATAATTTTATTTGCACCTTGGTATTACATTTTTAACTTAATTAACTAACCTATCAACTATTTGACTAAAACGTGCGGGTGCAGAAAACCCATCTTAAAGGTCCAGTGTGTAAGATTTAGGTTAAAGGGTTTTCACTAGTTTGTTTCATCTAAATTGTATGAATTGTAGTTTTATTTACCCCAGAAAAGTCCTTTATATTTAAATACTTTATATTTACATCGAGGGGACCCTCTCTATGGAGGCTGCCATGTTTTTTACATTAGTCCAGACTGGACCATTAAACACCTTTTGAGTTTTTATGACAACTGAAGCTACCACAGGTTCTTTTTCATGTTTGGAAGTGGAGATGAGGTGAGGGGTGTTCAGCTGCAACATGCAATTTAAACACTAGATATCACTAAATTCTACACACTCTACCTTTAAGTTTGGATAACCTCGGTAAAGTGCAAAGGGTTTACTCCCCTCTCACTCCCCCCTCACATCTCTCTCTCTCTCTCAGGCCCTTTTCCCACGATGCACCACTGTTTCGCTAACAAGAGAGGACAGCCAATCGAAGTGACCCGCCTTAAGCTTGCTGTTCCCTGGTCTTGTTTTCTATTTGAAAAGCAGCCCACACTCTCACAGGCCATTTAGCCAGTATCGTAATGACAGGGGCAAACACTTGCTCGATCCAAAACAGCACAAATGGATGTAGTAACAGGTTTGGAGAGCAGAGCACTCTGAAGCAGCGCTCCTATATTTCTGTTTTTCTTTTTTTATGTGGATGTGAGGTCTGCGGGGGGGAGTGTACATTTTTATTTCAACACTGTCACGTGTGTTCTGGCTTCAAAGCGGGGCGGTGCTGCACACTTCAAAGTCTGCTGCCTGCATTTCTTCACACGTGTGTTCATTTGGGTATATGCATGTTCATCCAAATGTCCTGGAGGACCAGAGTAATGAGACACCCCCCTGCACAACTAGGCTTTTTTTTTTTTTATTGGCTGGAAAATGTACAAGACTCTGCCATGAGCGGCGGCAGCACTGACAAACAAACACTTTTCACGGGGCAGAACCACATGATCTCAGCATAGGGACATAAGAGCGAGGGAAAAAAGCCCTGTGTTTGTTTGCTGGCTTATATGTGTTGGTCTTTCAAATGAGAATAGAGCTCGACGGACCATGCAGACACACTCTGTCTGAGCTGCAGTCTGCTGCAGAATTGCAAAGCAACGCGGCGGGGGGACCGTGGAATAAATCGACAGAAGCAAAGAGGGAATGAATTATATTTTAAAGAAGAAAACTACAGCCCGTGGGTATTTTCACTCGGGGTCTGTTGGGTTTCTTTGAAGCGAACCCTGGTGTGATGTCAGCATTTGCGCTGTTTATTTGAACAGGTGTGAACGAACCCCCGGTGTGGGCATCAACGCCGAGGACGCCCAAACAGCACAAGTCTTGGTCCACCTCCAAATCAAGTCTTTGTGGTGAGACTGGAACACGGACATCAGAGGTTCTCAGATCCTAAACTCATATTTTTATAATCTTGGGGTGTTTGTCCAAAAGTCTAAAACAAACAAAAAGTCCAACTGACATGATATAAAACCAGCAAATTCGAAATTGAATACCATGAATCAAAGTTTGCTTGATAAATGACTCAAAAGTTTAATCTGATATCAAAATAATTGTCACACGTTGTCTTTTTCCTTCACTGACTGCTGTCCGAGGTCCTGAAATTTTTAAATGTGATGGATGGAAAACAGAAAAAAGCAAAACACAAAGACCAAATGGAATACAAAAATCTCAGGGTTGAAAAAGAGTTGCCACAGTTGAAGGTTCCAACTTGTAAAGAGAAAATGATTTAAGAACAAGTTCAGCTTTTTTTGTTTCCCTGCTCATTTTTCTCTTCTGAGCCCCGCTTTATCTCGACTGGAACATGTTGCCCTCTTGCCTTTGTTATCGCCAGCGCTGTCACATTTTCCAGTGGCTTAATCACAACGCATGGCATGGCAAGTTCAGAATTATTCTCAGAGGGCTGTCCAAAGGTGTTCAATGCCATAGAAGTAGGCAAGCACAAAGAGTGGTTGGTGTATTAAAAAATTTAATTGCAACACACAAAGTTTGCCTTTATCTTGCTTTTTTCTTACCTGTAATATCAGGTTTCTGTGGCATGAAGAACTGATAGAAAGTCGGCTCCGACAGGCCCTTGACATTGCGCGCTGTGATTTCCACTTCATATCTCGTGTTCCACTGCAGCGGCTGAAGCATCGCGAAATCATTCGCTCCGGGAACAAGCTTGGTCATCCACTGCTCCTCTTTATCCTGACGGGAGAGAAAAGAGGAGCGTGGAGTTTAAAAAAAAAAGAGAATGAGAAGGAGCTTTGATTACATTTTGTAGAGACAGTGTCTACGTTTTTTTAAATCTGGGGATTGTGAAAGCTACTACAATAGAAAAATGTGGGCGCTTATCCACTTGTGGAGGTAAAAACACAAATTCTCTGTTTTTTCATCAAGCTCACATAGAGTTATCTGCTATGTCATCTTTAACGTCATCCTTCCATTTCCTCCCTCCTCCCACCTCGTCCAACCGCAAAGAAAGGATTAGAAAGTGAAGAGTAAGGCTGACAGCTGCAGCCTAAAAGCACGGTGCACTCAACATTCTTGCCTACCCCTTGTGCATTTGAGGACAGAGGAAAGCACAAATGGGGCTTTTACAAAAGTCAAGGTCCGGGGCATTGATGTATGTAACATTTGTACAGATTGTCAGGGAGCTATGATGAGTCTGTGCGAGGTTTTCAGGTTCATCCTACTGCGCCCCCACGATGAAGCGGTGGTGTGCTCCTGATGCCAAACGAGGCCATAAGATTACTGGTGTGTGAAGCAAGCACCTTTTTCCGTGCACTGGCATCAAAAAAGCCTCGCTGACACTCCCTGACCCCCTTCTTCCGCAGCGTGTTTTCATCTGCAGCAGTATTATTTTAAATCACTGTCACTTCCTCAACAAAACAGACGAATGCCTGCTTGGACACATTAGCACCGAGATTTGGACGAGCTGAAATCCACTTAGTCCTGTGGAGAGTTTTTGTGCGAGTGCCATCTATTCTTCACACACGCCTTATCTTGTGAGTTTAAGCTGCACTTTGCTATTTTACACACAAAAAACCCCCAAACTACTTAAACGGATGATTGAATTCAGACAGTGTATGTGTACTCTCATTTAAAATATGAATGGTGTGGATTGAAAAATAAAGATTCTCAAGCAGAACATTATACATTTCGCCGCCAACGCACCCACTCGACTCAATCAATGGGAACCTATCAAACCCGTGAGTCACACACACACACGCTGCTGGGAGAAAATTGGATTTCCATTGTTGAGTTTCTGTTGTGTTAAACCAAAAAAAAGAAGTACTTGCTTTATTCATTCTCCAAAATCTCAGTCTCCTTTTTTTTCTCCTTGATGTCATTTGGATTTCATTTTCAACGTGATGCATCGATGTGCCTCCATAAATATCAATTGTGAATCTGTGATCACAACACCCCCAAAAAATTATACAGTAAGTGGATCCCTATGTAAAGTAAAAAAATGAAATAGCAAGAAAATATGAAATTAAAAAGGTCATAGAATATAAATACATATATAAGTAGCACATACATTTTTGAATTATTAAATTAAAAAGACTAAATATTTTCTTAAAGCAGCTTGGAGCTGCAAACACTATACAAACAGGAGTACTCTGTGACTGTGGTCAATTAGTGTTTTTCAGCCCTGATAAGACCACATTGTATAAATGCTAATGAAAGGTGCTTCAGTGCTTCCTTTTCTTATCTCCTTTAGCATACAATCACATACAAAAGGAAAAGAGATGCCGACCCACAATTCCTTGCATAGCATCTGCCTTCATCAGCTGAATGATAATGTAGTTTAGAGTAAGTGCAGTTGGATCCTCTCAGCACTAGGGTTGGTTTCCTACGTCTTCATGAGTTCTCCTTTTTATCTTTCCTTTTCCGTCGAGGTTTAGGGAAAGTGCTTAGGAAAGGACATAGGAAGTAAGTCTTATGACTATTGGCCACGGTCTGTAATTTTTTAGGGGTCCATTTTCTGCTGCGCATTAATATAGATTTAATGTGCAAACAGCAGGACAGAGTATAAGGGGAAAATTAATTGGGGTACAAATTTTAATTGTAATAAAGAAGCAGGCTCTCAGGCTTTGGTTACTCAGATGATATTTATAATATCGTAGTTTGTTTATATGCATAGTTTAATGTTGGTTTCAGTCAATTCTTATCATTTGAGAGGAAATATATGGAAATATAGAATATTGCAAGTCATTAAAACTTTGTTCTTTCCTCATCTTTTGCCTTTGAGGCATTATCTCCACCAAGGAGGTTTTTTTTTCAGCTCTCAGTTGGTTAATTTGTTGATTTGTCTGCAGGATAATGCAAAAAAATTCAACTGGTTTCCAGAAAACTTGGATAGAACCCTTAAAAATTGGTTCAGGATCCAGGACTTTTTATTCAAATTTCTTCGATACATATAGACCAACTTCCCGGGAAAGAAATTCATGACTCTGGATGAGAATGTGTGCAATTTCGTGCTGATTCTAATACAAAGTGAGATCTAACGGATTTAAATGTGGTTTCACCGATTTTTTTCTGCCGCTGTACATCCACAAATAGAGCTACAAACCTGTAACTACCACTAATGTGTAGCTGAGATAATGTGGATTCAGTGGGAAATCAATGGTGCAGATCCGGCTTTTAAGGGTTTTTAGGCCTTGGCTGATAGCGCTCTTCTGTGTGCTATCCTAGTTTAGACTTTGTTGTGATTGGATTCTGCTGACACATTTGCAGATGCCATGTTCATCTCTGATTCACTTACCGTCTTGTACTTGATTATATACTCCACGATGGGCATCCCCCCATCATCCTGCTTGACCAGCCCCAGCCTGTAGGCCTTGCCCATTCCCCTCTGCCCGTGGACTGCCGGCGGACTCGGCTCCCCTGAGAGACACAAAAGAAGCAGGCTTCAGAATGAGATGCTAAAAAACTTCTTGTGTGAGACAGAATGTGTGCGTGCATTCCCAAAGAGGTGAGCAGGTGGGAATGTGAATATGAAATAAGGAAGCAGAAACAGGAGCGAGATGAAGTTGAATTAAATTCATAGTACAAGGCATCTCCCACTGTCTGGACTATAATTAATGTTGACTGGAGGCTCTTATTATTCCCTGTATTTAGCTAATTGGGTCTTTTTTGGAACACTCATCATCTGTAGCTGCACGGCTGTATAACATTCACTGGTGGAAACACCTTTTCTGTGGCTATGCCTGGATTTACTGCAACTCAGCGATGCCAGATTGCCAGAAAAAATAAAATGCTCATCATAAAACCTCGGCAGTGTATACATTTTTTTTTTTAAAGCTGCAGTTTTATATCAAGACGCAAATTTGACAGGTCCAATAATTTGGATTCATATCGCTGAAATATGAGGTTGTCACCATTTAAATATAAACACGCTGGAGTTTCACGAAACGGCAAATAGGTCTCATTTTACCAAACTTAAAATAGATTCTGCAGGATATTTGTAAATATATTTCAGATTTTTTAATTAAAATGTGCTCCCATTGCTTTCCATGGTGTTCACTGTCGAATATTAGAAGAAATTACCTTTATTATCATCTCTCTACCACACATAATCATTTGTTAACTCCTGAAATGTGCCAATAATTCACAATTAATTCAGTCTAATGGCTACGAACCCATTGTAGTAATGACTTAAAGTGATTATGAAGTGGCCTTTAGAACAGCTTTGATTGGAACCTGAGGAGATGAGAGGCTCTTACTTTGAGGGGTTTCATTAAATGAGCTGCATGGAAGAAGAGGGAGTCAGACTTACGGATGGGTAAAGTCTGGAAGGTCTCCGTGTGGCTGAACTCCCCCTGACCTTTGCCGTTGACGGCCGCCACTCGGACCTCGTACGTCGTGTTGGGCTCCAGCCCCGTCAGCACCACTGTCACTGGAGAGAGACACGACCAGAGTTCATGACACCTGTAAATCTGTGGCTGCCGTCAATCATGTAGACATCAGAGCAAATAATTAAAAGAGAGGGTTTTGTTCTGGTGTTTCCACACCAGTGCAAAACCCTCTCTTTTCATAATGAATTATTACAGGCGGGAAAAGAAAAACAGAGAGTCATGAGTAGAAACCAAAGCCCTTTTCCATGCAGTCCTGAAAATATTTTTCAGAAACCTAAATTTTACATGTTTGAGAATCGGTGCATTTCTCATATCGTCATCTTCCACCTCTTTCCCCACTTTCTCCTGCTGTGCCAAAATGAAGCTAAATATCTGGGGCACAGGTGCCGCCATCTTGCACTTTTGACATCATTTAGAGCCTGGGTCTGCACAGTTGTGACATTTCACCTCATTTTATATAATCAAATAACGAATTAAAACCAAAATTACTCGAAAAATTCAAACAGGAACACACTTGAACTTGAACAGAAACCATCTTTGATGCTTTGCGCTGTGTTGTTCAAACCCTGCTTGCTCCATCACCTTTTGCAGCCCTGCCAATGTTGCCTTAAGTCGAATTATTGGTTTTAAAAGGAAACCTTCATGGAATGAGGCGTTCAGTCACGAGTGTCATTTCAAATCAATGCTGAACAAATATATCAAAGCAAATCTATTATTGTATTGAAATCTACAAGATAGAGATTGTCCATCATCTGCCATGTGTTCCTTTGTGAAAAAGCTTAAACTAAATTTTTACTCTGCAAATAGAGCATTTATAGCAATTTCTAGTATAAATGAATAATGCAAAATAAAATGATCATTGCGCGTCTCTTTACAATAATAGTAAAGAATAAATTAGAATTCAAAATGTATATAAAGATGAGATTGGAGTATGACTCTAATAAGATCACTGTGTATTATTCTGAACATTAGAGCAAGTATAATATGTTCAATTGTAAACTACATTGATTATTGAAGAACACAGGAAATCTAATTTTAAGACCACATTACAGATTCCTATTTAAATTGTAAAGTCTATTTACATAAGGTTTACTATCAGAGTGTTGGCGAGAATCTTAATGAGCCTGAGTGAAAGTTGTTGTTTTTGTCAGTTCTGCACAAATTAAATACTTGGATGGTAATAGGTGCTTCTGCAGTTCTTTCGTCCCACTACTGAAAACAAATACTGCAATTTGCGAGCGTGCTAGGTTACTTTCCAGGCTATAAGCAAGCATTTCAATTTGGGCAAAAACATTCAAACGAAATGAGTCTCGGCATCTCATTATATTGAATTACTTTCTGCAGAGGGTATCTGAAGTGGCTCATATGATTATATGATGGCACTCGACTGGTTAGTAATTAGTCTTGCTCATGGTTTTAATATTTTAGTCTAAATGTTAAATAAAAAAACATTGAACTAAATTACACATATAATTAAAGTTTATTTAGTTCTTTCCCCAATGTTTCCTTCCTTTTTTTTCCAACATGTTGAAAACATGTTCTCCTTCGACATATGAAGTATATTTCTAATTTATACTCTAAGTGCTACTGTAGCTGCTTGTTAGTATTCACCTCACCACCATCACCATATTGAAAACAACTCTGAAATGAGGGATATTAGTGATAAGCCCCTCAGGTTTGTCAGACCTGCTTATCACCCGAGCATTCATTCTCCGGCTTCTATTTTCCTTCCATCCATCCATCCTTCCCCTAATGGTGTAGTTTTCCACCAGCAGGCTCAGAAAAACAATTTGGATTCATAAAAGCATAACAGGAAGATGAGGAGGAAGAGGAGGAGGAAAAGGAGGAAGAGCATGCGCATTTTGCGACCCATTTTCTGAGCAATTTCACCTTTTAAAAAGTATTTCTTTTCTACTTTCTCGAGCAGCAATCAGTTGCCACTCCATTCCACAGGGGTCAAAAAAAATATTCATCTCACGTGGAATATTTCTTCAGTTGGAAGCTCGAGCGATTCCGAGTACATTTTAGGTAAAGATCAGAAATAATGTTTGATTTTTATGCCTCACAAGCTGAATGGAAGTGAGCGGGAAATACATTTAGGAACCAGTGCACTGTAATAATCTAACGAGTTCTCTGACAGTGGCTTATATTTGATACTATGATGTGAGTTTATGTTCCATGGGACAGAAAGGATGTAATTTATCTCTCCATCACTGGTACTGACCACTGCTTTTAACCACCTCTTCTCTTCAGGGCCAATTAGACATCATTTTATTTTTTAGGTCTCTCATTAAATGGCCGACATCCTTTTATGTCTTCATATTTAATAATATTGAATACCAAATTTAAAGAGCAACGTGTGGATAAACATGAAATCGGCATCATGATACAGGTGAAATTTTTAGGTCAGAAAGAAAACCATGATCAAACTGTCTTCTTCAAATTATGTGGACAGTTCCCACTATCTCTACACAACACAGGCTCACTCTCTCTCTCTTTCGCTCATCTAATCACAGCCTGACTCGGTCACTTGCAAGCTGTCGAACTTAACACCGCTCCCTTCTGTTATTCAGCTGAGTACTGTAATTACTGAGGGACCTATCTTCATCCCTGCACCGCCTCAACTCTGGACACACAATCATCTCCCTTCACACCGTCCAATCAGAAGCCCTTCATTGGATCCTTGACCCCACACATAAAAGATGATTGTAAATGTGAGGATAACAGCAGGGTTCTGTTATGATAGCAAACGATAGGGGAATTGGCTTTGTCCCTATGTCAAGTTATAAGCAATTGAGTAAAAAACACCACTCACTCTGAACGCTGTGTGACTTAATGTCCCTCCATTCCTGTGAGCCCACTTCCTTGTACTGCACCAGGTAGTAGCTGATGGGCACGCCACCGTGCGAGTCGGGCTTCATGAAGGTGACGGTCGCCAGGCGCTGGGAGACTGCCGAGAGACGCACGGAGTATGGATTCGACGGCACGTCTGAAATGAAAAGACGGCGGACGTTTTTTTTACGTTGAATTATTCAAGCTTGTGGATTTTGCGGTTTGCCTGATCCCCTTGCTCCATTTCCGGATCTGAAAATCACAAACTTGGATGAATCAAAGCAAGACAGCACAATAAAAACTGTAATACCACTCAATGTGTTGTTAAACAAAGCCTAAGTTACTGCAGTGTAAATGCAGCAGACAGAACTTCCTGTGCCTCCCACCTCTTGCATCACTGTCATCGCCGTTATCAAACTAAAGACGGACATTATTGCTGTAATAACTCTCGGCCCTGAAAGCAATTTAACACAGTGAGAAAATTCATTTTGAGGTGAGGAGGAACATCACTCAGCTGCATCTCTCACATATCCATGGACTTTTTAGCTGCTAAACCAACATGTTTACTAGGTTTTCTTTTTCCTTTCAGAACATCTGTGCATTGTTGTGGCCTTCTTTAAAAACCGATATCTGCAAAACAACAAGCGACGAGTCCTCAACTTCCTCTGGAGCTCATCTACCCTGCACGCCTCCGTTATTGGTTCAAACTTTAACAGCAGCATCAGTGTGTGTATGTGCGTTTCCCTCTGTGTGTGTGTGCAGAATTGTAAGAGTCAGAATAACTTCCTAAAAAGACCATATATTAGGTCAGCTTTTTGCTCACCACTTTTCTCCTTAGCCAGAGCAATTCAATCTGCACTCAAGATTATTGGGCTGCACTATTGTGTATTAGCCTGCGCTACCGTAAATTAGGGGGTACTTCAGAAAATAGCGAGGGGTATGGTAAATCAGCTGGCACTATTTGAGATTAGGCTAGCCTGAATAGGGGTGGCGAGTGAAGACATTTATCTTGCTGAGAATTGCCAATAAGGCTGTTAGCATTAGTAGAGAGGTGGATGGTTAGAGTTACTGTGATTCTTAAACTCTGGCGTCCATGATTGTGCACAAGCTCCACTCTGAATAAAGTCAACAATGTCATTAGTTCAGGAGAGGGGGTCACACGGCACAAACGGGTCAGCTCTGCAGACCCACCTGCCTGCGCCAGAATGAACTCCTGGTATCGAACTCCAATGTTGTTCCTCGCTGTGCAGTTGTAGCGGCCGAAATCCCTGTCAGACATCGGAGTCACCTAGAACCAGAGAATAAGTTTAATGAATTACAAAAATATAACTTTTACATGCCTCTTTACTTTTTGTTTTATTTATCCAGGAAGTGTAGAGATACTATCCACCTCCCGCTTATACAGTGCATTGACTGTTGCAGAGAGCTGGAGCACATCCCAGGACCATTATACAGAAACAAACCACCATTATACCAATGTCTTCAATCAATCTAACCCCAATCGGCATGTCTTTGCCTGAGCTGCATCAATCCAAGTTTTCTTTCCATTAACAATGGATCAAATGACAATGTGCGACATGACGGGGGAAAGGAACTAATCATTTACAGGACGTGGTGTCATAAGAGACTAATTTCACCTGGGTCACCACCTTTTGCACTGCTGCTCATCCTTTCAAACATTTAACAAGCTTTAATTAGACTATTAGAGACCTTCACCAAGTGTAATAATATCCAAACTATGCAATATTATCATGTGCAATGATATTATCTGCAATATATAGTACTAGTACTATATTTGTATATGTACAGTATATACTATGTTTTAATAACCTATGTTCGATACTGATTTTATATTTATATTTATTCTGATTGGTTTTGAGGTATTTGAACGGAGAAATAGTCAAGATTAATACCCTCTTTTACTTTCTTGATTTTACATTGTCATTTAAAGAGAAAAATGTACTGAAAATGAGTTAAACTGCAAACAAATGTGGAGAAGCTGTGCCCTGCTGCGACGCCTGTTTCTTTCATTCTCTCTAATCAAAAGACAAATTACTCCTGAGAGAGACAATAAAGACAAATCTCATCCTGTCCTGTCCTCATTTAGGAGCTGGAACAAGTTTCATCATCGTGATTACAAAAGTTTCCATCGATCAATTTTTCCGTACCGTCAGGGGGTCGATCAGGTATTGTGAGTGTTCTCTCATGTTTTGTACTTGCTAGCAAACAGGTCGTGTACCCACCTCCAGCACAGACTTGCCCTCCTCACTGTGCACCCGCGTGTTAGCAGTTCCCTCTGCGGAGATGGTGAGGCGCTCTCGCCTCCACAGCATGGTGGCGGGAGGGTTGGACATCACAATACAGCTTATGTTCACCGGGTTCCCCTCCCATGAATAATAGATGGTGTGATTGGTCAGGAACTTTGGTATGTCTGCCGCATAAAGAAAGAGATATTTCATTTATGGGAATGGAGCTTTTAGGGCTAAAACAAGACCTGAATTTTTAAAAGCATAGAATATGTGATAGACAGTTAAACACTCTAATCAAAGGTGGAGCTGCGTTGGATGATGAAAGACATAAAAATGACTCGCTGAGGCTCAACCCACAAATTCCTCAAAAGGAGAAAAAAAAAAGCATTTCATTAACAGTTCCCAAACTCTCTTTGCAATTTGAAAAAGAGGAACTAAAATCTAATTGAAGCCACCTCACGCTGGGGGGAAGGGAGGGGAAATCTCCATTACGATCATCTCCGAGAATAAAAATAAATGCAAACAGAAGCTCATTTGCCCCGGCAAATAGGAAGGGCAGTAATGGACGATCGCAGTGGCGAGCTGTCGGATTTCTCTCGGCCCAGTCAGCCCGGCTCAGTCAGAGAGGCATTATGGTTGTTTTATGTTCTCTTACAGGATTCCATTAAAGAGATTGATGCCCAGCTCTCTGTCACAGCCGAGGACGTGTTATCCCCCTGCAGCCTGCAGTGACTTAGTAAATGAGTTCATTAGTTCAGTGGCGATGGCTGGCTTAGCCCCGCCACACTCACACTCACACTCACACATACACACACACACACACACACAAACAGTCTCTCTGCAGAGCGCGAGTTGAGTCGGTGACCAAGTTGTCAACTGTTTACAGTTTAATGACAGAGACTTTGCCTTATGGTAGGGGAGCTGGTGGACGCATGTGAGATTTCTTTTCAATTTCTTTACGAGGATGCCATTTAACTTTTTCCAACACGTCAACTTTTCAGGAGTTATGCAAAAACTGTTTTAAAAGGGGATCCGTGAACCCAAAAGTCGCCTCAGCCCGAGGAAGAGCAAATTGGTTTCTGAACGACAGCCGAGTCGTTTTTTTTTTTTTTTACCCTTCACTGTGTCTCCGGATGTGTTTGTTTGTCTGCCCTCTCTTTGCTCTTCCTCTGAGCTTCAAGGTGGAATCGCTGCTCCTCGAAAATATTCAGGCGAGCAGAGCCAGCTCTCGTAATGAGCGAGATAGTTCCCAGGACAAAATGGAGATCTTTGCTACAGAGCTCATTAGGCAGGGGATAGTCCGTCCCAAATAACCCCAAACAAGCAGCACTGAGGAATGGTTGTGCTCACTGGGAAGTAGGGGAGCTGTATCTTCAGGAGTGAAAGGCGATGCGTGATATCCTCTTTCTAATTAACCCTACTGGAGGCTGTGTGTGTGGTGCAGTGGGCACATTAAATGTGTTTCATTTTCCCATTAGGAACATGATACCATATATATGCAGGGAGTGGAGGAGGAGGGGAGGAGATGTCAGGTAACCAGGGCTCCAGCAGTCTTATTCAATTTGTACATTATTCCTGGAGCTTTGGAATATTTTATCAATGATTTCTCTTAAAGTTATGTATACAATCATTTTACAACACTGTTGATTGGTCTGTAGTCTGTGTCCACTGAGGTAAAAGTCAATGCCATGCTCAGTCGCTGTTGTTTCGGAGGAGGTGCTGGTGGCATGAACATGGGTTTAAAACAAAGACTTTAAATTAGGATTGACGACGCCATCGCTTCCTCCGGTTGTGCAAAAATTGAGCTGAGATATCCCAAATATCAGGTGCTGACATCTTGCACACTGATGTTATTTGGAACCAGAGTCTGTGCAGTGGCGATCAAGGAGCGGAGCTGCAGTATGGACTTCAGATCGTGAGTCAGTCTCAGCTGTTAAATGAAAACCAAACTTTCCAGAAAATGAGCACTGACATCAGTGTGATGGGAATTACCTAAAATTAAACATCTATTTAACATGTCCTTTTTAGTTTGGGCTTAGTGGTTTGGTTTAGTTGGTACATTAATCAGATTAAGGCCAGTTTCTTGTGCACACCTTCTGTTCACCCACATACTGTAGGTGTTGCCTGATTACACCTCTGCCAAGTAAAACGTGTGTGTAATGTTATGAGCAGGAGTGTCGCGCACAGGTGGGAAAACGCAACACTGATACTCACACTCGATGTCCAGGAACATGCTCTTCTGATGACCTCCGATGCGGCTCAGCGCCTCGCAGTCGAAGCGGCCCAAGTCGGCGAGCCTCACGCCGCTGATCGTCAGCACAGACTTGCCGTGGCGTCCACGGACCTCAAAGCGTCCGTCCTGTCTCTGAAGACACAAAGCACATAATTTTATGTCGGTGTGTTAGCAATATCAGCGGTTTCAGATCTTCAGTTCAGAAAAGGTCAGGAAAATGTGAGGATGGTTTTTATTCACATCCCTGATATGCTCACACAGTTATTGACTTTATTAAGTTTGGGACATTTTTTTTAAAGGAGACTCTACATTTATATCTGTGATGTCTAAAGCTGGAGAAATGATTGATTGAGTCCACCGAGTAAAGTTCCTAATCCAACTTTGTACTCGGGACTGACTGACAGCCCCTTGATCCATTCTGACCCCCTTCCCCCCGTGGTGAGCAACTGTCACTTGTCACACAGAGTCGGGGTGCATGCAAAAAAAAAGAAAGAAAGAAAACTCCTGTCCATTTATTACAAGGTCATTACATCTGTATGAAGACAGATGGTATCAATTTGAAGCTACGGGTCAATTACAGCAGACAAGGCTATCATTCCAGCGATCGACACTCACTCGTAATGAGAAAAAACACCCCAGGAGCATGCCTGCTGCAGACACCATACAGCTGTAGCCTCCAGACAGTTACCTAACAGATACCCCCCGTCACCCCCGAGAAACTACTTTTCAGCTGCCTGTGGACTCGGGGTTGATGTATTTGAGAGCCGCATGACTGCAGCGGGGCGTTTTTTTGGTTTAGGACTGGAAGAAGATTTGGAAGTCAGATTCATTTTAGTTTAATTATATCAAACAATCCAACGTTCTGTATAACGACTAAAAATATAACCTTTTCGCTTTGCAAGACCATGTGTCCTTCCCATTTCAGATGATAAACATGAGGAAATAACGATACAGTGGTGAGATGTTGGTTGAAACTTTAAAAGCCATTTTAAACTCCTTGCTCTGAATGAGTAATAATCCAGCTCCATACCTACACATCTGAATATCATGTGACCATACGTGTACACTGAGCACATGCATGCATGAAATACTGTATGTCAAAGGGTATACGCAAAAAACATCCATCTGAAACACAAGTTTACTTTTCCCACATTGTTGCCCTGTAATGAGCCAATTAAGTCAACTTAGAGAAACAGCTTTAGTGGAGTAAAAATAGAATATAATTATTTAGCTCAAGGCCTGAGAGTATAATGTAGAATTGCACTCAAACGAGTTTGTTCCTTGTATAGGAATTAGAACAAAAAGAAGAAGTTAAATAAAAAATGCTGTGGATGAGAGTCAAATCAGGCTCACAGTAAGCCTATTTAGCAGAGGGATACCCCACAGTGCATAGGGAGGTTTTTCTACTTGCAGCCGTAATCGGCAAAATTCTTGTTTGTGTTAATTTGCGTCATTGTTGGTGATTATCACCGACTTCCGCTGTGAGTCTGCAATGTTATGTTCAGCCGTGGTGGCTATTATTATTCAAGCTGACGACCTTATTCACGCCATACTTCGTTATCTTCGTTACGGGGTGCATGCAGCAATGCGGTGCTGCAGGAAATCGAAAAAATCATTTCCTGATGAGTATTTTTAGCAGCAGAGCTTCAGGGGTGAAGCTGCGTTCATGTCATGGTGGAGTTGCTGTAATTACAGGTTTCCGACTTGTGAATATGCAAACAACAGCTGAATCAAAATTACGACCGGGCAACCGATATAAACTCTCCAGGGCCTGGTTCTGTCCAGAGGTAATGAAATCCGCCTACCAGCACCTCTGAAGCTGGTTAATTACCATGTTATATTTGTTGTATTTTATCACAATGAATCACATTTATATGCTTTTTTGATAGCTAGCAAAAAAAGCCCTCATCACCTGCCTCTGCTAATACTCATCACGTGTCTAAGCCTCATAAGCCTCGGCCGTGAACCCCCTCTTCTGAATCACACGCTCTTTATGCTGTCGTTCTTACGCTGCTAAGGTATTGCCTCGTTAAGAATGGCTTATCTCTACTCTTATCGCCACAATACTACCGACCAATGAGGTGAAGTGGCTTTTAAAAGCCTTGGTTCTGGTCCCTTTGTGTCGCCGCTGCATCCTTTGCTTGTTTGCGTCGCCAGCTAAGGTCAATGGGATTGCGAGCGTGCGCGCGTGAGTTGAATAGGAATGCTGGAGATGGGGAGGGATGAGAGAGGAGGAGGAGGAGGCGGAGGAGAAGAGGAAATCTTCCAGGAGGGAACTTCTGAGTCAGGAAATTACACGCCACCCCACAACCACCCTTCCTCCCACCTCCTCCTCTGCCCCCACCAACTGACAGGGTCTGTGTCTAGAGACAAACTTGGCCCCTAAAGCGCAGCCTGTTTGATATGCGGCTCGGTGGAACGACGAGGCAACGGGGCAGACGTGAACACAGAGCGACTCGCCTGCACGCCCCTAGACACACACACCGCAGCTGCAGCATGGTTACATGCGTACTGTACACACACGTGAATGGCGACCAACACGAGATACGCGGAAGCCGAGGGAATAGAGCAGATGAAAGCAGCAGCAGATAGTAAAAGCAAAGGTGGGCAGAAGAAAAATTGGGAGTCCTGTCCCTATCTGATCCATAAGACCTCAGAAATGAGAACGTGTGGGGGTTGACATTGAGCATATGAAACGAAATTCCAACTGCAATCTCTCAAATGGGATTCGAGTTCCTGTGTTGCTGTGTTAATTCAATACTGGCCAATTTTCAGATATTAAAAATGTCAGCTGTAAATGTGGGCTGGAAGTCCAATTCTGGCGAGCATGGCTAATTCCAACAGTTTGGAATGGGGTGTGAACCACTCTAATGAATAGTGCATCACCCTCATCGCAACAACATAATGACATTGTACAAGGAAAACGTAGACAATCTGAGGGCTTTCAACATGCCTGTGATCTATTTTCCTCTGTGTTTTGCAGCTGCTTTTGTGACCAGGTATCAAACAAGACACAAAACAATAATGTCTTTTGAAAGGAGATCAAATCAACACAAGCTTGACTCCTGAATAATTGAGGAAAAGGTTGAAAAGTTCTTAAGTTAACATAAGGTTAACAACAGGCAAAAGCTTTTAAAGGATGATGCTTTTCCAGTTTTGCCTGAGGAGGTTATTTTGTTTTTATTATATTCATGTGTCTGTTAATTAGCAGGGTTACATTAAAACTACAGGACGGACTAACATGAAATTTGCTTTAAAAATGCAGTCCAGGAAAATCCTCCTTTCCCATGCATAACTGTGACATACTGAAGAGTGAAAGAGAGAACTGCATTACATGTTATGATAACTATGAGGTCTGACGGTCTGCGTGGATCGTGAAAACTTTGTGGGCGAGCAAACGCACAGCAAATATTACTGAACATAGCCAAACAGTGCAGCACTGGAGCAATTCATGAGAGTGGCGGGCAAATAAGAAATATCGCGGGCCACTACAGTCAGTGTATATAAAAGTCCCTCAAGTGCCCCCTAGCCAGGTAGAGGCTGACATTTTCTATACGAGCTGGAAGTGGTTGACACGTCACAATAGAGTGGAAGGACGGGATCTACAACCAGACAGACAGAGGCTAAAAAGAGGAGCTGCAGCAATGGAACATTAGAGCATGTAAACCTTTTCAAGCAATGACACCAACTCAAATTATGAAGCCGGGCATGAGCAGAATAAGTCTCTTTAAAAGTCACAAGATCCCCCCTGTTTTGCATGAATAGAACAGAGGCAACGCCAGTTTTACAAACCTGCTCATGATCAAAACAATACCACAGGAGTGAAACAATGGCGAAACTCATATCCCACCTCATAGTTCATAATTACACTCCAAGAACTGCCTCCTATTATGGTCTCGTAGCCAGGGGGTCACAGCGTCAGTTGACAAAGAATGAGAAGAATGGAAGCAGCGTTGTGTAGAGAGTAAAAGTGAGCCCATTGTAGCTTAATGTCTCAACAAGAGAAGCAGCGTGTGGATATGCAGATTGGGGAGCAAATTGAGAGAGGAACATCCTGCTTTAAAGTTAAATGACTGCAGCCATCCATCATGGCTCGTGCTGCACAGGCCGTGTTTGTCTTTGCATATGTTTAGGTGTGTTGGTTTGCACTATGCATTTCCATAATTGCATTTGCAGCGGGAAGAGAAGCACTTACTCTCATTTTTGGCTGTGATTTATCAACCCACAGCGATTCGAGCCAATGCACACATTCATTTTTCTCTCCGCTGACCTTTTTCTGCAGCAAAAAGAATGTCTGCCTTCATATTTTTTTACTCCTTCTGAGAAAGCTTCAGCTTTGAAGCTGTGATGGAAGTGCGTATGGTGCCGACATTAATGGCAGCTAATTCAGGAGTAATTACTTTCCAAGAAAATGCGACTGCAGTTCATTCTACCTTTGATTTGTGCGGCTCGTCTTACGGACAAAGTGAATAATTGATGTTGGGAGAAAAAAAAAGAGAGACACAACTGAACCTTAGTATCTTCTCAGGTTCTTTTGTCAGATAAAACAAAAAGTCAAAGTCACACAGAGCTACAAATTGGAGTGTACGTTGGATTTGTGTTCGTGTTTGCCCTGAAAACATCAAGGTTCTTGCAGCGTCTTTTTGCCGAGTGCTAATCAGAATAAATATTTGCTGATTTCCCGTCATTCCCACTGTTCATAATAAAATATGGATCAATGTAAAGGTGCCTTCATGGTTTTAGAGCAGCTTTGAAATTATAAAAGTCTTTGAAGCTAATTCACTTGTCAATTATAGCAAGCTAAAGCAAATGGGATCCAGCATCGACTTTTGAATGTGATGGTTATGTGATTATTAGCATCTGCCTTTGGACAGGCCCTGAGCAGCACTGTCAGCAATAAATTGGCTCCAATTGCATCATTTCGTTTCTGGCAGATGGGAGTGATTATGTCAGCTTTTATTTTGATGAGGACCTATACAAGTAATGACCTGCTCATGCTGGCCATTTATTTTTAGGGCTCAACCATGCTTCACACAAATACTCAATGTTCCTTTGGATAAATAATCATGACATTTTAATGAACACCATTAAAAGAGAAGAAAAACATTATACATGTATTTCTATTTCTGAGCCACAGCTCCAGCTGTATTACTTCAGTCTTTTCTCTGAGTCAGGACACCTTTGTCTCATCACAACCTTTAAAATCCCCATGAATGAAACTCAATGATGGCATCTGACAAGGTTGGATTTTAAATGTCCATTCAAAAGTGACATTTTACGAGAGAGTATTGCATTGCAGTAATGTCACACTCAGATACTGATACTGTGCGTATATTTTGAGATACACAGCCAGCTTAAATACGGAGATGATTTGGTAAATAACTGAAGTCAAGTGGGGGTAAATATCACAACCTATCCCTGTTCCAACATCAGAAACATTAGAGTGTGTTGGGAGGGTGGGAAGAGTTTAAACATTATTATGTTTTGGTTATGATACATGTTTTTACTTAATCCTAGACAAGCATCAAATTTGAATGCGAGTAGGTTCCTCTGCTCGTTTCATTGTCACCGTCCGCTCACTTGCATTGTGGTTGTGTTTCCGTTGGGAGGCTTTTGTAGCTTTGTATTTTCATGAATGCTCTTTTCAGAGATGTCTAGTCCACCAGATGATACCATTAAAAACATTACTGTGAAGATTCTCAGTCATCCAGGTCATGGTATCTTCAGAAGTTGAACAAGTACTTGTGTGTAAAAATATTGGTACTATGACCTTGTATTTCCTAAATGTACGGCAGTTCATGTGCAAAGTTTGTTTTTAGTCGTAAATGGGGTGTGGAATATATTTTAAGTAAATACTTTTGTATGTGCTTTATTAGTATATATATACACAACATATATGAACATTGTATGCTGCATAATATCCGTATAAATTATGTCCCAAGCTCATCACCCTAACACGTGCTGGACGATGTGTGCGCACACATAGACACACACACACACACACAGAGCCAGATGGAGGCTCTGGCAGTTTCTACCTTGTCCCCGTCCACGAAGGTGTGGCCGTCGCTGGCTCTCTTCCAGGAAATGTCGGGCAGAGGCTCGCCCTCGGCCACGCAGGAGATCATGGCGGCGCTGCCCTCCACGGCTGTCACATTCTTCAGCTGGGTGATGTGAGGCTGGACTGAAGGCCGCAGAGGACGAGGGGAGAAATAATAAAGAGGAGAGAAAAATAAAAGTGAGCAAAGAAGAATGGACAGCAAGGCAGTATGCGGGAGGAGTGAGTGAGAAAAAGAGTGAAACTGTCAAAGATCTAACTCTTAAGGGAGAGGAGATGAAGGCTATACCATGGGGTTTGAACACAGAGCTGAAGCATGACTTTGGTACTGACAGTCTAGGCCACGATCATTTATCCACTGCAGTCATACTCTCCAGGTCTGGCATCAACACGCGCCCTCTGGCCTATTTTTCTGCCTTGATGATAACACAAAAAAAACATGACTTTGGTGAAGTTTTAGAGCAAAACCGCCTCCGCCTCTGTGTATGCTCAACTTGTAGTTTTAAGTAAATATAGATTTTTGTCTGGGGAGTGGGGGTATGTCGTCTCCAGCACCCTGTGATTCACTATTGACGCAGAGCAAGCACCACAACATGTCCTGAAAAGCGTGAGGTTGGTGGCCGCCCCCTCCACCCGACCCCCTCTGCTCGCCTCCTACTGATAAGGCGCTCTAGGCAAAGCCCTGGAACACCATGCATGTCAAGGGCACGGAGGTAGTCATACAAATCATTGACACCCCCCCCCCCCATCACCACCACCACACAACACCACCACCACCACCACACACAGACACACACACTGCACGAAAATCCTCAACAGGGTCGCTTGCGGTGTAGCATAGCATAAAATCCGAAAATGAAGAGGGAAGTGAATGGAAAATAGTGACGACTGTACTGCAGGTGTTTAACACAATTTGGGGAGGGATATTTGTCGAAGCATAGGTTCACACATTTGCACAGGTACACACACAAACACCAGACTTATTCTGGGGGGATCCTTTCCTAACCACTGTGTAAAAAAAGTGTTAGTTAAGTTGAATCAACAATTAATTGCAGGATGGGTCATATTTTAGTTTCAGCTGTCCTGTCAATCGGTTAGAAACTTGGTAATATCTAAGTCCAACAAGGCAAGACAAAGGATGAGTTGTACAATCAGACTAGAATAAATGCATCTGTATGTATATTTATCCCATTCGTGGTATTTTGTTTTGTTTAACCCCTTTGGATGTCTGCAAGTTGTCTGCAGGTATTGCCGAAAATAATAGTCAATTGCACAAACAGGCTTCTAGTCACTGTTTGCAGGAAGTCCAAAACTTTTCAGCAGAAAACGTTACAAATAAATCTCAGGAACAAGGGAACAAAAACCGGAATAAACAGAATTGATCCAAACTGAACAGAGGAACAGAAAAGGAAGACTGGGCAGCACGGAGGATAAATACACACGGGAGGCAGGAAAAACTGGTGCACAGGTAAGACCAGACAGAGACAGGAAGTAAAACAAGCAGAATTGGGTAAGAACGCTAAAGTAAAAATAACTAGAATATCTCTGCCAAGGCCCAACAGTCTCCTTAAATTCAATCAAGCTGAACTGAATTCTACACACTCACACTCGTAAATATGTCTGATTCTTTTTATAAATATCCATGAATTATTTACGGAGGAATCAGTGTGAACGTCATAAAATTCACAAAAATTCCTGGATCCATCTCAAAATGTAATGAGTTCTTTCTCCGCCTGTGTCCCATCTATCCACAAGTTTCAAGATCTATTGAATCGGTTTTTTTTGCTTAATCCTGCTGACAAACATTGTTCACAAATCCACACAGAATGTTTTGAGTCTGACTAGAGCTTCTTTAAAAATCTTTGTTGTGCACAGTGTTATTATTCTCAATGGGAATGACATTTAAAAACACAAAAACAAGCCCCAAATTTCAATAAATTCTGATGAGTTTTTCAGTTAACAATCGAGTCCTAAAAGCCCATTTTACTCAAATAAGTCAAGCAGATATTCCAATCAGCGATAAGTTGTTTCTAAAATAAATCATCTGCCTTCAAAAATGATCCAGAATCAAGTGGCGGTTTCTTGATAATGGTGCGGGAATCTTCGTGATTATGTTTTTGTGTGGAGACAAAAACATGCTGCGGCGGGAACAAGTGAAATTATCTCCAACCATTGAAACTTTTCTTTGTCTAGGAAAAAAAACATCTTTACAGCCTCCTAATGAGACTAAATGACTTGTTCAGAGGATTTCTGCAGAGAGGAAGATGAGGAGCACTTCAGTTGATCACCCACATCTATTAAAGCACGTAATGACTTCTGGTATCAGAAATACACAAAAGACATAAATAATACAACACAAATACACACTTGACATCATCTGGCTCCCGTATAAAAACTGTTGTTGGTGCAGAGACTGGTCTGAACCAGTTCTCCATCTGCTCCCTTATCTGCAGCCATTTTGCCCCAGATGCCCTTCATCATGCAAATATTAAATGGGAAATGTCTCATTTATCAACCATGGTGCAAAAAAGCACTCTGCAGGGAACATTATTAAAACTCATTATCTAAAACATTTGGACTCTAAATGAGAAAGAGCCGAGATGCATTTGTGTGCCGAGAGATAAAAATACAGAATTAATTCAACCTTCTAGGTTCGGGGGAGAGTTTGTTTTGTTTTAGTTTGATTTGTACATTTAAATTGAATTTTGTGCGTTTTTCTTTAACCAATTGAATTGAGAACGTGTGTATCTTCCACTCTAGCATTTGCTGATAAACATAATCACACTTAATTACATTAACTATAGCTATCATGATGATTGTACTTGTAAATGTTGGAGCTTTATGACAGTGTCAGATCTGTGCTGGAAAAAATAGAGCCAGAGTCTGTGAAAGAGACTCAATTGACACAATGACATTACTGATTCAGCTTTGATGCAGATCGACTCACTGTTTGCTTATAAAAGACCAAATAAGAGATAGTAATGTTTATAATTTTTAACATTGGTAATTACCCTCCATGGTAATATTTGTCACTGCATAATGCTCTTATCCCTCCGACTGAAAACATCCACAACGCAAATGTCAGAATAGATTCTCTCGAGTCATACTTGATGCTTCTGAAATCTCTGAGTTTAGAGGGATTAACAGGAAGATACACTCTCAGACACTCTTCCAATAAATATCCATGTATTATATATGTATAGAAGCATTGAAACATATACTGTCGATATCCATTCAGTCTCTGATTTTCAGTTTATTCCAGGAGAAAAGTGAACAGCATGTTTGCATTTAATTTTTTCTTCTTCGACTAGAAATACCTAGGACAAATTGAGCATGGTGTTACCTCAGGCACTTCAACAAAGTCAAGCTCTGCCACAATTCAGTGCATCAGCTGACAGCAGCAGATCTCTGTGCCAGCCCACATCAGCTGATGGCTCAGTCGATGCACGTGGAAGGGCAGGGAGATCTTGGAGCAGAGCCAGAATGCCAAATATGTCATTATGTATTCAGCAAACCCATTAAAGAGGGCGCTGTATTTAAGGGACTACCTATGACAGAGGTAAAAAGTGCAACCTGCAGCTGGTTGCAGAGAGACTGAGATGTGCATCTCTGTTTCCTCTGATATGTTTCTTCCTGTATCACGGCTCTCTTTGTATATTCTTCCTGTAATGTTGCTGCAGAATGGAGAGCACCAAAAACTGACATTTACTGTAACGGCTGCAGATACTGATGATAAAGTATCTGCTATCAAATTGCATTATAGTCGATATCTGCAGTGCTTTACAATTTCACTTTTGTCACTACAGGTTATTGAGTATAGATTGATGGATAAAATGACACTTATATACATTTACAAGTTAATCTACTGCATGATGAAGTGTGCAAAAAATAAAAAAAGGCTTTAAATACTTTCTGGATCCAGTGTAGGAAATTATGAAAAATGCAACACGGCCCTGCATGCAATGTAGCTATTTTTTAAAAGTGTAAATGATGCATTAAATCAAGCGATGGTGTAAATTATACCCCTCTGATGGAGGAATTATGCTTCTCGGAGGATAAATGTAAAAGTCCCTGGGGGCCTGTGCGGAGGGGAGAGTTAGTGGTGACTGTAGGTCCTGACAGAACGCTTCATCCTCACGAGACCAGGGATGTCAACATAAAATTTCATGGCAATCCATCCAGTAATTGTAGACTGACCCACGGAGCCTCCCTTGAGACACACTGCTAGCATGTCTAAGACCAACCCTAGAAATGTTATGTAGCTTTTTTTCCTGACAGTGTAAATGGTGGATATATTTTTTTCTTCCCCTCTTCTGGGCACTGAATGACCCGGAGCCTAAAAAGCAAGAGTAAACTTAACATAATCCCTGAAGACTGATAGTAGCTGCGAGGACCAACACTGGCATTTAGAGCTCAAAGGCTGCCATGGCAACTTTACAGAGCGGCTAGACAGCAGCGGACATGCAGATTTGGAGGTGTTGTGTGCACAAATGTGAAAGGGGAATGAAAGCAGCGTGGAGCTACTAATTGCCCCTCTAACCTGCTTGTGGTCACACATGGTCGGGCATTTCTAGAGCCGAGGTGATTATTAGGGAGCTGCATGAAAGACAAACTTCAAGGAAGAATTTGCTTTTCTCACATCTTTCGTCTTCCACTTTGTGGTGATGATCCAGTAGCCTCGGCTCATTTTATTACCTATAATCATGTCATCAAACACATTTGAGAACAAAGAAATGTTCCTGTTGCCTGTTACGTTTGTGATCGTGGAATTTTGAGCTTCAACAGCACATTAGCGTCGAGATCACGGGATGCGATGATGAAATAAATGCCTACAGAGCAAAATGTAAATGCCGAGTTATTTCAAGATGAGCGGGTGAGTTTGTCAGTTGGCTGTTTTCAACTGTATCTGTCAAAGAAGGAGGGCTCTGGTTTTCTGTTTCAGGAATAAAGGAAAACAAAAAAGCATTGCGGAAACATGAGTGACGTTAAGGATGAGGCAATGTGTTGCCATGCCCGAACGTGAATGTGCAGCACACACCGCACAGTGAAAAACAGAACTCCTCCCTCCATCCTTTAACGTCTTCATTTAAATGTGCATTTTTGAAGGAAGAGCGCTTCTCACGTCTTGAAAGGATGTTGATGACTGGAGCACAAATCTCCATACATTTTCATGAGCCGCACTATCAGAGTGATCTGTGAGGAGATAGCCAGCAGGTTTTATAAGAAATATAGATTGAATTTTGTTTATATGAGGAGTGCAGTTATTGATTTATGAAGCAATAAATGAAATATTTCCTTTCGGGGAGCTATATCGATGCGCTTTTTGTTATGTCTTGGAAAAGTTTTTATTTTTAATGAAATGTAATTGTGGAGGCCCCCACAATAAAACTTTATGGATAAATATAAAACACTTCTCATCGTCAGGGGCAGTGCTGTTGTATCTTATTGTTATTAAACTCCACTAAATAACTTTATTAATGTGATTTTCTAACCATGAAAATTAAGGTTCACAAACTTTAAAAAAAAACCCAAACCATGGTCTTACATACTGTGCAATAGGTTTTTTAACACTGGACACTGTGCAATAGCCTCAACACAACCTTTTGAATAACATGTCAATTGTTTTACTGTCTTTTTTTTAACTATTTGATTCTTTTGATTCTTTTTATTATTTGTTTTAATTTCCTGTAATGCTGCTGGAATTGTAATTTCCCTGAAGGAGTCTTCCCAAATGGATCAATAAAGTTCGATCTAATCTAATCTAACCCATTTTGTGGCCTAATATAACCAAATTTGAACCACAGCATTGCTCCGTCATAAAGGGTTAGTCATCTTTTTTGCTTTGGTTATGCCTCAAACATAATCCAGAAAAGTGGGTCATATAAGCAGGTACCAACAACCAACTAATACAGTCTTATACAGTATAAAGGTTACACTTAATAGTGAAGAAATAGCCCCTATGTATATATATCTTCAGCAGTTATATGGGAATGTTTTCTTGAGCCCCTCCACTGGTCAGAAAACTCATTAGCACCCACTAGCATCTGGCTTTTCTGCAATGGGAATGGATGCAATTAAAATTCACTCCTGGGTCAAATAACTAACTGCGGTAGACACAGGTTTAAACGGCTCCGGTTCCGATCAGGAGGGATGTGAACAGAACATCCGAGTCTCAAGTATTCAAACTCTGAGTTTCTAGTAATGTTGAGGGTCCTTATGAATGTCAGGGCTTACGGACACTTGGATGACACCTCAGGAGCAGTACGGAGGTATTTAATGTTGTTTTTCTGTTGTTTTGTTTATGGATGAAGAATCTGTCGCCTTTTACCTCAGTTGTGATGGATTTGGCTTCTACAAGCATGTGTTCAGTCGTTTGGAGTGTGTGATTAAAAAAGGGCGGACAACCTGACAACCTGAAAACAGGACGGCACGGGGACATAAAAAACAGCTCTGCAAGTTTAAAATCATGCATCAAGACACAGTACATATAATAAATCCCTACTCACTATGGTAAGTTGCCTCATCTCCACATCGGAACGTCTTTTCTGGTCAAACAGACACTTACCGAACACTTTGAGGAAGAGCTCCCTCTCCTGTGATCCTGCCTTGTTGGTGGCCTTGCAGGAGTACGTGCCCCCGTCACCTTGCCGGATGTTGTGGATGGTTAACATGCCACGGCCTCCTTCCAGCCGGTTGAAGAAGTACTGCTCCGATGGCTCCAGCTGCTGCCCTTTCCTGCACAAAAACAAACAAAAAAAAAGAAACATGAAACTAACTTATCCCTGAGAGTGACGTCCACCAAATTCAGCACATGATGATGTGTAATTTTCGCACTTTGGACGTCAACTGAGTCTGAGTGCAGACAGTTTGACTTTGACATTTTTTTAGAAACCCTTTCAAGCTTTATAAAATAATTGTTTTGGATGGATGTGTCGTACTATAATTGCAATAACTATGTCCTGGTGAATCATTTCCTGTGTGTCCTCTTCATTCCTCACATGCCACAACCTATGCCAGTCAGAGAAGATGGGATCTTCCAGTCAGTGTTTTGAGTCTCGTCGGAGCTCGATTGTGTTGTTGCACTCACAAAATGACTCCTGTGTGATGTGGAATACAGTGTTGACTTAATGTCTTTCTTATTAGACCCTGTAGAGATATTAGTCAGAAAAAAATACAACAACACACAACTGCTAAATTGATCCATGTCTATATTTAAGCTTCATAGCAGAAGCATAATGGTGTGAAGCCGGTTTTGCTGCCTCCCCCGTTTGTTTATTTGCAGCTGCTTAACCAGCCGTTTAATCTGTAAGGTTAAAGGGATTTTTAAATATTTGTAGGAATTTGACTTTTTTCTCTCCCATGCTTCCGCAGATTGAAACTCATTGGTGCTTTTTAATGCCATCTGCTAAAAGTAAAGGATTAGCTCAATTACCGAATATCTGTGGAACGGAATCAAGCAGCGACTCACTCAAATAGAAATACATCTTTAAATTCCTCTGAAGTTTGTGTGAAAATGATTATGTACAATGTGAGAGGGGTCACTTATAGTTCAGGGAATTATCACCCAGCTCTTCAGTTCCCCTCAGTTTTATGCCTTGCAACCGCAATGTTGTTTTTTTTTGTTTGGCCCTCATAACACACTATTTGGGAGTTGGGGGAAAGTAAAAGAACATTTTGAAGGCTAATGAGTGTTAAGTAGTGTTAAACTGCACAAGCAAAACAGCATTAAATCTAATACAAATTCAAATATTCTTTAAAATCTTAGAAAAAGTTAACAAATTTTCTTATTGGTCCAGTGGAAACAAAGTTGGTAGTCCAAAGTAAATAAGCAATGACCTCTGCTCCCTTCACAGCTACAACCTACAGTCTGTATCCACAGAAGCTCAATGTTTTCTCACTCAATGTTTCAATGGAAGGATACAATTCTTAAAGTAATAAAAAGGCTATAGCTTTGGATAAAAGGATATGAAGAAAAACAGCCTTCAGTTGCCATTTATTATTAATTTGGCCTGATCATACTTTAACCCTGAAATATAAGGTATGCATATAAAAACACATTTTTATTCCTACCTGTTCATTCGATAGAGACAATAAGGCACTGAACCTGAAACTGGCCCTTTCTTTTTAAACCCCATAAACTGTTGTGCAAATTAAATTCAAAAGTGATGAGTACTAAATTCTTAGAATAATGCATACTTCTAACTACATTTGGACTTCCCTCTATGGTCTCACACTGTGTGGACTGTGTGAATGAAAAAGAAAACAATCTGATTATTTAGGGACCTCAAATATAAAGATTTCAAGGCTCAGACACAAATGACACAAACACAGTGGTGCCGTGTGGCGAGATCTACGCCCCAGCTGCACTATACTGCGTGAAACAAAGCAGGAGGGAGGATAATTGAAAGTCAACGGAAGAAACACCAAAGCCAAGTAATAATAACTTGAGCGAGCCAAATAGGAAATGAAGAGAGGCTTCATCTTTAGGACAGACAGTGCAGGATGGGCTGCAGCACTGGATGTCATTATACTGACTGACTGCTGACAGGTAGTCCATTACCCATGATGCACAGGGGATGAGGCGAAAACCCCCGACTGGGAGGCTGGAGATCACTGGGAGAGGTGGCATCAAAAGGAAAGAATAAATGGTCTCGTGATTGTTGTTTACGCCGAAGCCCATTCTTTTGTTTAATGCAGTGGTCTCGGACTGACACAGTGTGACCTGGGAAATTAAGGAGAGCGTGCTGTATTGTTTAGATAGTCGATGGACACCGAAGACCATCAGATCGGGACTAAAGTGAAGTGAAGAGGCATACGTTTTTGTAAAAAAAAAAAAATCACCGTGCACCACGGGAGCATTTGAAACAGCATAAAGAAGCAATTACAAGGATAAATAGATTCTATTCTTGCATCACAATCAGTTCAATTAATTTTAAATGTTACATTATATTGAAGTAGCTGTGTTGCAAGATGCAATTTTCTACAGTTGGACAAGATTCTCATTTCAATCACCGTCTGTAATTACCACGCCAAACATAACTCAGTTTCCCGGAGTATTAAAAAGAAACAGAGGGAATAACGACAGTCTCAGTATGAAAGTAATAAATGGATCAATACATCAGCTCTCACCCATCCTCACTGTGAGGTTCCCCTGCTTTTTTATGCATGCTGTTAAATCATTAAAATCATATTTTCCTGGTTTGCTCCGCCACTAAAATGACAAGGTAGCACACCCTGGAGTAAATATCATTTCTGCTGTTTGGGCTGGAAGCTAGAGAGCAAGATGAATGAGGCTGCACGACATTGAGGTTGTTTCCTGCTGCGCGGCGTCTTTAAATGTTGTTTGTACTTCACAAAGGGATGTGCGTGTTGCCTTCGACTTCTCTTTCAAGCTCCGACGCGTCGACGCTCATTATGTCTCGGAGACAATGTCACATTAAGTGCAGGAGCGTCGAGTATGCCTCAACAGTCTAACTGCAGAGTTCACAGTTTGTTGTGTACAACAAAGTTTCCTGTCATCGGGTTAAATCCTGGAATAAGTGCAAATGCTGATATCTGACTTTTGTCAGGCTTGTGCAATTATTTGAATGCTTCCTGAACGTTTAAAAGTAAAAATCAAAGTGGAAATTAGTAATTAACGTGGATCCTGCCATTTATTGGAGGGATACTCACTTCTTTCAAAGACCGGGTCAGCATGTAATTTGTTTTTCCCCGATTTACCTCAGTGTTAATCGAGCAGCTCTGACTGTGCCTCTGATTTACACCTGCTGGTCACCACACAGAAACTGCTGCCAATCTTTGGGAAAAAGAAAAGCAGCTACATAAAAAAAATGTATGAAAGTGTGGGTTTTTAAAAGCACATTGCACTTTGTTTAATTCAGAGCAGGTAAGTGCTTTTTTACCAGTTTCTTGCCTGTGCCTCTGATTTACACCTGCTGGTCACCACACAGAAACTGCTGCCAATCTTTGGGAAAAAGAAAAGCAGCTACATAAAAAAAAMGTATGAAAGTGTGGGTTTTTAAAAGCACATTGCACTTTGTTRAATTCAGAGCAGGTAAGTGCTTTTTTACCAGTTTCTTGCCTGTGCCTCTGATTTACACCTGCTGGTCACCACACAGAAACTGCTGCCAATCTTTGGGAAAAAGAAAAGCAGCTACATAAAAAAAAMGTATGAAAGTGTGGGTTTTTAAAAGCACATTGCACTTTGTTCAATTCAGAGCAGGTAAGTGCTTTTTTACCAGTTTCTTGCCTATGCAAAGTTGGGGTATTTTGTACCTTTTTTTTTAAGGTAAGAATATAACCATTTTTCGTGTACTTGGATTTGTTTTTGTGGATGTGTTTTCCTATAGTTGCTTCCAGGCAGCCATTGATTTGCATTCACTTCCGTGCAGCATGAAAAAGAACTTACAGAAAGCACAGAAAAGCCTGAGGTTCGAGATAAATCACTGTAGGAACAACGTCTCTCTTCAACCGTGTGTCTTGTCAAAGTTAATGTCAAGTCAGTGTTGCGTGGTTACTCACTGCCAATGCTACCTCTGTTGATTCGATTATCAAAACTTAGTGCTGAAGTAGAATAAAAATAAATCAAACAAGAAAAGTTGTTTCCTGTGATGGATTACTTCAAGAAAGCCCAGCTGCAGTCAGCAGTAATGTGTGAAATGGTCCATTAAGATGAATTAACTGAAAAAAAAATATTACTGAACAGCATGAATAATCAATAAAGTAATAAATAGACGCTCAGGTGCAAAGAGCCTGTCACGTTAAGTGCAAGCTAACTACTTGACGTCAAGCTGTGGGGTGGGTAGTGCCGTGTCAAATGCTCTCCAGGTGCAAATTTCCCCATTGTTGCTATGTGGCATGTGATAATATTGAGTGGCTGCCGAGGGCAACGTGCGAGGGCAAACTATCAATCTCTCAGAGCTGAGGAAGGGGAAATATATCACATTTGTACGTATAGGATGTGTGCATTTATTTTTCTCTAAAGGAAACATGCACACATCGCAGGGGTAATAACGATAAATACATTTGCAATAGTTATGGGCCTGTTGGGCTACAGATGTTTCCCAGAAACCGACTCGCACTTTGTTAGAGTTTTTATTAGCCAAGATATTTTTTAATAGTGCAACCTGAATTATTACTAGTTTGAAATGAGCGTGGGAAGCCCAGTCTATGTGCAGGTCGGCAGAGAAAAGATGGAATGGGTGCAATATTTGGGTGTATATTGCTCTACTTCATCTTTGAAATGCTAATTTGGGTTATTGTTTAAAAAGGTTTAGGCGCATGTTCAGAAAACTCATCACTTTCCTCATATAGTCCATCGCTGCAGCTCCTCTTTCAAGCCTCTTTCAGAAATGCTTGTTCTTTTTCAATTCGCTGGCTTCCAGTAGGAAAGTTCAGCCTCCACTTTCAATCTAAAACCATTTCCAGGCTGAACGACATGTTCTTGGAAGTATGTTTTCTCTCATTTAGTGTGTGTGTGTGTTATCTGTGTTGCCCAAGCAACTCTGCCATGTTTGGATCAATTTAAGACCTGAGAAGACAAATACTTATATACTTTATAATAAAGCCATTTAATACGATAGGCTAATAGTTGGTGTTACATTTTATGGGCAAAGGCAAACATTGTAACATTAAGTGTATTTGAAGTATAGTCTAACTGTGAGATCTCTTACACAAGAACACAAAGAGTGACCTTCTCAGCTGCTGTAAGTGCCACTCGGTGTGCAATATGCAGACGAGGGACATTATGATATCAAAATTCCGTGGAATTTTGAACAGGACGACTGAGGAGGCAGATCAGGAGCTTCAGGAGAGTGTTCGGTCAGGGAGCTACCTCTACCAGTGACTTTTTAACTTTGCAGTACGTTAAGAAACATAAAAACTAATTTGGCACACACAGAGGAACAAATTTGTCTACCTTGGGACAGGAGAACGTACCTGTGCCACGTGACCACGGGGTCCGGAGATCCAGAGGTGATGCAAGTAAACGTGATGGATTCTTGGTAGTCAGCTGTGGCATTGAAGGACTGCTGGAACACAGACAGCACCGGAGGGACTGCAGACACAAACAGAGCAGAAACTAATAGTTAGACAGGAGGGCTGTCATTAACCTCTGAGAAGTTGAATCGACACTAAAAGCTACAATATTATTGTATCTGGGAAGACAGTTCAGTCTTTATGAAACAATATGGTGAAGGCTAGACATTTTCAAATGGAATAAATTGCCCTTGTAAGTGGTTCATAAGCACTCACTGAAAATGTTACTTCTGTCTGTAATCCAACTGGGATTTCAAATAACACTGTGACCCAGCTTTGGTAAAATCACAAAAGGAGCCGATGTGAAACCATAATGCTATTGTCTGATTCTGAAATGCCCGGCTAAATCCATACAAACAATGCCAGTAGAGAAAATGTGTTTCAACACATCAAACACAGCCGCACTGTCGGTAAAGAACAGCTCTTTTATTTTTGTCAGCAGACTATTCAGTCCCCGTCAGACGCTCGAGCCATTTCTCATGATGTCTTGGCCAATCTCTGCCATGTCAGAATTAGGGGGAACGTCATTGCTGTGATTTTAAGGTCCGTGGTTTGGAGGACCTGCAAATACAAACTGAAAAAGCTTAGGCTCTCTATGGTCATATTTCATTATGACTAGAAATAAATAGATGTAGTATACGCAGTTTTATAGCTTAATATTTATAGTGCAACATTTTTTACGTCAGCATTTTGGAGTCTGTGTAATTGCAAGTCAGTCTCAGCCATCAATCACGTTTCACTCTATTTTTATAGCATCAAATAACTAATTGAAATGAAACATACAGGAAAAATGAACACTTGAACAAACATCATCTGACAGAAACCTTTTAAAAATATAATTTAACCTGTTCTATGATTTTGTCCCATCACACAACATAGAGGAGGCAGGATGTATGACCTATACTGCAGCAAGCCACCAGATGGCGATCAAGATGATTTGGCTTTACTTGTGGGAAGCTGTCATATTATCCATCTTTATATAAATATATATATATATATATATGTATACTCTATGGCATAGGTCACCAATAGGCGGACTGCAGTGTGGATTTGGACCCAGACTGTTCTATACGGACCCAGACCTATTATTAGATTAATTACTTCATTTTAAGATGCCTTTTTTCAAAACCTCTTATTTTACTTGAAATGAGAAAAGAACATTTAATTTATTATGAGAGTGCCCTTCAGTTCATTGTGAGAATTTATAATAAACATTGTCATCAGTTTTTCATTTCGTACAGACATTGATACAACTACCAGGCTACTTCAAAATATATGGCACTCATAATCATAACGCATGCTAGACATTATGATGTTTTAGAATTTAGCTTCAGGGTTTTCTAACTGGACCTCTTTGAATGTTAACTGAATACCCTTGGTCAATGGTTATGAGCCATGCAGTGAATCAACTGCTTACTTTATGATAATATATATAAACTGTGTATATGTGTTTTTGTGCTCAAATGTGTCGGTGAATTAGTACAACGGTGCAGCGTGCGTTATAGATCTTCTATGAGCAGCAGATGTCTTGATGACGTTATCAACAGTATGCGCTGAGTGCTGTCAGGGACACACAGCCTGTCCCTGCCATCCGATCAGCTGAGGGCTGTCATCTTGTCATTCAGTAAAAAGGAGAGCAGAGCGCGGGCCCCGGCCTTTTCTCCGTCTGCCTCTGCAGTGATGCAGGAATGACAGCTTCATAGAGCGAGCATGTTTATCAGGGGTCTCAGTCCATTTCTCAATCCTGCGCTCCTGCTCCCGCTACGACTGCTCTGCTGTGGCCTTGTCCGGTCGCGCTGCGTGATTGAGCGTGTTTGGAACATTTAGTCCGCTGGGTAGGTGAGAACAATGACACTCCAGAAAAACCTAAAATAAACCAGGTGACGATCAAATAAGTCCACCACCTGAACACACAAAGCTGAGGCTGAACACACAGACTCACAAAAACAACCGTTTGGTCCAAGTCTCACAGTGAGCAGCATTTCTAATGGAGTGGGGGAAATTTGCTTAAATATCCCATTATAATAAAGATTGTGTGAGAAAACATTTTAGCTGCATAGAAAATCACTGATGATGTGACTGGATAAAATAGGTGTTTAGGGTTAATGCTATTATGCAGCACTGTTTTCTTCATCTCAGGTTACATCATTACACACACTGTACTATTATTAGGATTATTATTATTATATATACACATTACTCACCACTATGCACATTACCTGTCTATTTTATCTTTGCATATTTGACCAATTATACTATTACTTGATTTGTATTCCATTAAACCTTTGGAATTCTAATTATACTGTGCAATATAATGTATCCTGTGCCACTGCACTACTTTCTCCATCTTTTATTATCTGTCTTTAGTGAAAGGTGGATATATGTACATCTCTATTTTTTATTCCATCATCTTTTTGACCATGTGCTGCTTATACAAGTGGATTTACCTGACACGAGATCAAAAAATTTATCTTATGCCAATTAGAAAATTTAAACAGCTAATAAACAAAAATGTATGGTCATAGCTCGTCCCGGACATGGCATGTGATTTTAATATGATCAGAATTAAATCAATTTTTACAGATTTTTTAATCAATTTTTTTAAATATGTGAGATTGTAACTAGCAGCTGCACAGTGATAATATTCAAGCGCCATTTGTTTTCTTCTGATTAAAAGAAAAAGATGGATGAAAAGCATGAAAGGTCACTTTGTGGGAAGACGAAGCTCAGTTGCTTTATATTTCAAAACTTTCAACTAACATAATTGGTCGCATGCAAGTTAATTAATTGAATTTGTGATTGGTGTCGCCTGGAGGACATTTATTCCATGTGGATCTACAAACAACTTGGTGAAATTAAATTAAATTAAATAAAATCTGTGGCTTAGCTCATTAAAATACATCAGCGCTGAAAAAAAGCTAGAAAATGAGACATTTTACATACTTGGGATAATGAATAGGCAATTCTCATCAAAACATAATCATCACAAATGCCTAATGAACCACAACACTGGGGTGTACTCTTTCTTAAAAGATCAATTACTCCAACGACACCAGTGTGTATTATGTGTAAACGAATACATGTAGATTCCACAGTGTCTATTTATTTATTTATTTTCTTTAAGTGAAAATGAACAAATACTTCTGTTTTTGTCATAAAAACCAACAGGGGACTGGAAACACAGGCCTGAGTGAGACACACATCAAGGCACAGTAAAGCTTTTCAGGGATAAAAAATGACCTGAGCAATAATCAAACACTATGAGTTCTTTCCAATAGCACTGACTCGGCGAATGAGAGGAGCTAACCATCGATTTCCATGCCAATAGATCTCCTTCTCCTCCTATGCTATACACTCCCACATTGGTGAACTTTGCTGAAACAGCCCTGTTAATGAGACACACTGCCAAGCAGGGAGACTTCAAAAGAGCAAATCAGCAACAGTGTTTAAGCTTTCAAAAAGAATCTGGTGAGCCTTTATGAATTCTTCATGTTTTAGTCATATCCTCGGAACTTCAGAGGCTCGGTGGAGATGTTTACAGAAGTCTCCGTGAGCGTGCACTGTAGATATACAATATTTCCAGATACAAACATGGTTGGACAGATGTAAATGCATCCACAAGGAGCTACAGAACTTGTTTTCTGCGGATCACCCACATTTACCCACAGTAAATGTTACTACAGTGTTACACCTACTACACATTCAGTCAATCAATGTTTTAGGAAGAAGACCTTTTCCCCGAGTGCTCATTAAGGATTTGTTTTGCCCTCTGCATTTGCACACGAGCTGGAATCAAAGCTGATTTATAATTGGGAATGTAACGTGGCAGAGAACACAGGTTTTTCCTATTCTCTTTCTGAGCACGCAGCCGTTGTGATTGATGCCACTGCAAAATAATTAAAGAAACCTTGAAGGACACAGTCGGTAGTTTCCACTGACAGCTGAAAAGGGGAAAATTGCGGGTCTAATGTGTGAGTGAGTGAACCGACAATTAAGTGGATGTGTGGAGGGAGGCTACAGGCGAAATCAAGATGTTAACACTGTTTTGCATCGCCGCAAGTTGCCATAGAAACAAACAATGACTACTGTTGCTGGAGGGTCATCAAGACAGAGGAGACAGATCTTATTAGGCTTGGCTGAAGGATCTGAATGGAAAGGTTGGCATATGTGAGTTAAAGGTGGAAAGTGTGCAAGCTAAAATCTTTTATAAGCAATCCAAACTGCACTGCATTAAAGCAGCAGTTTGACATTATGTTTTTTTTGCTGGAGTCAGAAGAGAAGAGTGATCACATACATTTGGAACCAGCCAGCAGTTAGCTCAGTTTAGCATAAAGACTGGAAATGGGTCTTTGATCCGTCTATTACCACATGGCAGAAATAAAAAATAATGTTTACTTTGAATTAATATGTTGTGAAAAATGCAGAAAAAAAGCATGTTTACAGCAGGTTATGTGCTGGATGTTTTGTTGGCTGGGACCAGTAACTTCTTAGGAGTCTTTGCCAGTTGGTTGGCAACTAGTCGAGGCCAAGAAACAGTCCAGCACTCGACGCATTTTACACTCCGGTTTTTGGTGGGGCCAATCCTGACCTGACATTTGTGTCAATATCGCATCATCGCGTTGGAAAAGTTGCAGGGATGTAAACACAAAAGCCAATCAAAACCTGCTTGAGCATCTCAATTGAAGCACACTAGCCTTTTGAATAGAAACTGGCTGAAGCCTCAAACTCTCCATACTAGTATACGAGTGGTATTGCTCTTCTCATTAAAAAGGTAAATATACTATTCTTTTAGATGAGCTTATGAGCCAGGTTGGTATTTTTTTATCCAACTGAAGTAATTTCACTCAAATTTAAGTGGATTCAAACATGACCATGATAAACTGAACTATGAGTGAAGGTATGTTTAAGTGCCAGAAGATGGGAACTCTTAATATTGTGTAATAGCACTTCAATTCCAGAAACTTAATTGGAAACCAACCAATTGATTTCTAATCAAATCCTTATATTATTTTTTTTAGCTTATTTCTCTCAACTGTGTTTATATATCAGCAGCTAAAATGTTCTGCATTCTCCTAGACGCTGAGTTGTTTTGGCCTGAGGTTGATTAACCATTCAGTGGGTGGACGTGTTCCTTGATACGCCATCATCCTCAACCCCGGTCCGCTTTGATGGTACACCGGGGACGGGCAGCTGCAGTTGGTCAGCTGCGCTTCACTCGCCGCATGCTTAAGGGAAAGAAACTGCTCTCTTATCAAGCTTCACAACAACAGATAAACTTTCCCGACTCTTTTCCCTTTTCCCTGATGGTGTCACTGAGCAAGACTCTTCTGCTAATTGCGTCTTTAAAGTCAAGTTGGCTTAGTGCTCTGAGGTTCACCTGAGGGCTTTTTAAACCCTTTTCACCCGTGGAATACCTGGAATCTATCTGTTAGACTAAGGACCCTTTTCTGACTCAGGTGTCTGTTATATAAATGCAATGCTTATGTAACTGGATTTGCTTGCATGCTCTATATAAAGTTTTTTTGCAGGATAATCATATTTTGTACATTTATATGACATTTAGAAGTATATATATTTACTGAGGCAACTTTTCTCTCAGAAGGAACAACAGCATTACCCGTTCAGGTAAGAAACAAACGACAATGAAATGAAATATGTGACTGTGACATGGGAGGAACCTCTTTTTTTCCTCTGTATTCCAACCAAAACAACAATGACAAACTTTTCACAGTCCAGCCCTAACTTTAACAAAACTGTAATATCCTTTCTCCCTGTTGTTTTCACCTCTGCTACAAGGACGAGCATCAGTGTCCAGTCTGACTTTGGCACAAAGGAGCTAAAGTGCTCCATTCACGACCCCAGGAGAAAATGTGGAGCCTGAGGTTTATCAGTGTATTCTTCCTCCTGTCTTTATCCAGGGGAGAGAGACAAAGAGCGTTACCTCACCACTGTATCCCTCAAGGCATCACAACAGAGGACGGTTCCCTGTCTGCAGCTGATTGATAAAACATGTAGCGGACAGTCTGTAACACTCATTGAGCCTCCGAGCAATCTACACCATCTCTATCTGCTTGTCCTCGGGGCTTTTGTGTTGTTTGACCCGTCCATGTTGTCGTCGATACTCTACTGCTCGCACTTGTGGCCTCCTCTCCCCTCCTCTGAAATTTCTTCTCTCGCTCCACCTTACCCATGCAACAGCAAACCATAGAAGGGGAATAATCTGGAAGGGACACACCCCTTTAAAAATAAAGTTGGCAACGTAGAGCGCAAACAAGATTAAAATTCATCATGTACACTTCTAGCTCGAGGTCAGAAACATTTGATTTATCAGATTCTCAGGTTGCTTATGCAAATGACTGAACCTATAGGTTGAGGGTATTTATGGCTTTCCTGAACATCACAGGCCTCGGTGCCTCCTCAGGGAGACCCCTGAGACCAAAGGGGCTGCTGCGGAACAGCAAGCAAAAGTTTGTGATCCAGCCTGATGAAAAAAAACCCAGTGGGGCCACTTTGCACCCTGCACATCCACCACTTCACATATCGACAAAAAAGACCAGAAAACAAGTGAGCCATCCAAGGTGCGGAGTAGATGACTAAACATAGACTCGACTTCTACTGACAGATGCTGGCAGCTTATATTTACCTGCCCCATGACATTAGCTGGCATTTAAAGAAGTGTCATTTCAATCTCGGTCACCTTCAAACAAGCTCCTTGTCCTTTCTTTTAGGACAGAATCAAAACTAAAGGTTCCTCTGGGCCACCGGATGGCGGCTGACCTCAGAAATAACTGCCTCTTTGATAAAGTGGGACAGTAAACTACCAAATTTGAGAGAGATTTGAGTACTGCAAAGAAACTACCACTTTGATAAGTTTTAGGAAGAAGAGGATGCAACAAGAGGATCTGAGTAAGAGAGAACCAGTCGAACACTGGTGGAAATAAGTCATTGATGTGCGTGTTGTATATTAATTCAAGCATCGGACGGATCACACTTATTTCATCTGCCCTTTGTAGCTGGAGCTTGTATGTCATGATTTATTCACGTCTGTTTCCATTGCAATGTGTTGCATCTTAATTTTTCCAACTCCAGCTGAGTACATGTTTTTTTTTTACTTGTTTATTTCTGGCATTTCCTCTTAGGTTATGTGTTTATGCAAACATTTAAATTGTAAACTAGAGCTGGTGGATATCAACATATTTAAGCAGCGACACAAGCATTCATTTGGATCTGTGTTTCAAGCGACCTAGTCCTATGTTGACTTTTTTTATTTTATTTCGATTTTCACCACTTCCTAATGTTTACTCGCTTTTCTGAAATAAAAAGTCTGCAGACGATGCCAAGGAGAGCTATTAGTAGAAACTAAAAATAATTCAAGTTGTGGGACAGAGGAACAAAAACAATGAAGTGAAAGATCCTCAGTCCACTGAGCTTACACAGATTGCAGATTCAAGAGATACCTTTCTGTGAAATAGAAAAAAAAAGAAAAGTGCTCTCTCTACAGTAACAAATGTCTTGCCTTGTGGTACCATATCACATATCCACATTTATTTTATATTTGTAGTTTGATATATGATCTTCAAATAGTTCATGAAGATCAACAATATAAAAGTACATAACAACACATTTGTGTCCTTCAGGCTCGAGGGGGGCATGTCTGAGTGTGAGAGTCTTTAGGGATCAACAAAATGAGTTTCCTTGAGGCAAAGGAAGCTCACTGTGTGTCTCTGTCTGGGTGTGGCTCCCTCAGGACGCTCTGACTGTCCCCTCTCGACGCCACACACAGCAAGTGTCGCGGCGCTGCAATAATAGGCTGCGCCTCATTGAGCAGACTTATTGGGTCTTCTCAGGAGTGAGGTAAGTGGTGTGCTAAATTGAATGCAGTTCATAGTTTTTGGGCAGAGGGCCGCTCTGCTTTTACATTAGGTGGGAGAGAACTACATAGGCAAAGACAATATTGCAGCCGCTCGTGCGTTAAGAGACGCTCGTGGCCTCGGAGAAATCACTTTTCGATCACTTCAGCGGTCTCAGGTGACTCGTTCTAAATGAGGACAAACCAGAAAATTAAAATGACATCCTTCGATTTTTGGGCCACGGAGCCCAAAGCCATCGCTAATTGAATAATTCAATCACACTACAGAATAAAGAGAATTGGAAGAAGAAAAAAATAGAAGAAGATCACACAAATGATGGCAGAGAGCGCAGAGCTGCTATAAGTGTGGCAGGGATGAACTCATGTGAGTCAGGGGAGCGGAATATGTCATAGTTGACAACTCATTTCTGATTTTTACAAGCGAAGGTCCAAACATTCAAAGTGAATTTCCGGCTCAGTTCACCTGCACACCAGCAGGTGATGTCTCAGAATCAGTGACTTGACAGTTCAGGTGATTACAACACGTGTAAACAAGCTGTGAAACGTGTCAGCTTCATGCTTTAGTAGTCTCCTAACAGCGATCATCAGCAAACTGACAGCACACATTAAGAGGTTGTTACACCACGTCTTTATAAATAAGTCATAGAAATGAGTTGATGGAAAGAAAGACAGGTTAATCGATTATTACTGTTTGATTAAACCATTTTTCTAAAAGATGCTCCTGTCTCCATTCAGACAAACCGACAAGCACGTCTGCAAGCATATGACGGTTTGGTTCAAAGTACATTCCACGGAAAAAAGTACCACTGACTACACAACGATGGTGCAACTGGCTCTTTCAGAAGTTTGGGAATTTGGATGCTCTCACTGTCAAAAACCTGGAATTACCTGCCACACTAAAAATGTATCTCATACTATAATATAGTTAAGTGTATATTTATTATGTATATTTATTTATCATTATTTGTCTTATTCTATTTTGTTAAACTAAAATGTAACTGCTGTTTATATTCCTTTTAAAATCTTACTTACTTTTGCTGTTGACTGCTTTGGTACAGTTTGTATTGGTCTCTGAATTTGAGTATGTTAAACTAAGTTTTAATTAATTTCCAACACATCCAGTTTTCAGGGTTATTTAGAGCTTAACTAAGGTTTCACGTGATGACGCAAACTCACCGTTGACCACGACAGCGATGTCCACAAAATCGATCTCTCCGCGGGCCTCTACGCTCGCCTCGCAGCGGTACACGCCCTCATCGGCCTTGGTCACCTGATAGATCTGCAGGTTGTTGTTCGGCAGCACCTGGAACTTGTCTTCGCGGCACGTCGGAAGAAGAGGAGGAAAGACGAAAGAAACACACAAAGAGAGCGAGTGAGGAAGAGGAAGAATAGGACGGCAGAAGAGAGAGGTGAGATAAGCAAGTTAGGAAAACAGGAGGCGAAAATTGCCAATTGTCAATCTTCACTTCAGCACATTTACCTGATAAAGTTCACACAGATAAACACCCACGCAATTACAGTTCCAAATCGACTCCACTCGCCCCCCATTGTGGCCACAGTGAGATTGGCGAGGAGTGATGAGGCCACTATCTCATTTCTCTCCAGCAAAGATATTTATAAGCCTGCATTGTAATCAGAGAAATGATTTTTTATTTTTTTTTAAAAACATCTTCTCGATGTTTCATCATTACCGCTCGACTGAAGATTTGAATTTCAATTAAAAAACGGGACAGATTCAAGGGGTCACTCTTTCCAATCAGTGCTCGGGCGGGCAGTTTGTCTGGAAGGAGGATGGGGAAGTGGTGTAGAGAGGTGTAAATCAGGGAGGAGGAGGAGAGAAAAGGAGTCCTCGTCCACTGGCTCTTACTATTGCACCTCTCAGAGAATAATACCATTAGAAGTGAATTTATCTTAGGTCCTCCTCATATTAAAAACTATTTAAGATACTGAAAAGAATAGGATTTCAGTGGAGTGCTTCAGGATTCAGCTTTAGATCAAACCAGACAGAAGATGATTGACAACATAATGAGTTAACAGAAGCACACAAGCCTAAAACAAACACCCCGTTCTTGAGGCTTTTTGTTTCGGCTGGTTCGCACGTCCTCCGTGTCGCCTTCTAAGTGCTCTGTAATCCATCCTCTCAGTCGCTTGTTAACATGGTTCCTATCCCAGTTATACTCCTCCTCCTGGGCTGATGGGGTTTCTATTCATAGCATTCGATATCCTTGTTTTATTGAGAATCCGCACAAAAGAGGGGGAACAGCATTTCCTAGAGAACAGAATTCTTGGCACATTAGCACATCTATTCAGTGAGAGAGAATGGTGAACACTGGGACTCGAGAGAATTTTCTTTTCCCCACGATGATGGAGTGCAGGTTTAAATTCAATATATAATTCTTTTGTTTACTCCAGAACTTTTTACTACAATTAATCTGCTCCTGGAATAAACAAAATCAGATTCTTCCATTATACAAAGGTTTGTCTCAATAACATTAAATATTCACTACTGAATAAACAACCGAAATAAAAATAGAATAGAATCTCGAAATGAAAGAAAAGAAAAGTCTGCTAGTATTTGCAAGATCATTCAAATGTATTTCGTGCCCACCCACCTAAAGAATTCAGGAATTTAAAGTGAAGGAAAAGAATTTGATGAAGACTTACTGCGGTGCTCCTCTGTGATTTCCTTATCCTGGTAGTACCACACCACCACGGGCACCGGTGAGCTAATGACATCACACACCACCTCCGCCGTCTCACCGTGGCGGAACTCCTGCGGTGACTGAACATCCTGAAACGTCAGCCTCTCTGCGAGATCAAACGAGATGAAGATTGAACACTTTTTTTTTGTCCTCCTCCTTTCTCGGTATAGGAAGCAGACAATTTATTGCAGGTCTGAACATCAAAAGGGAAACGTGAAAAAAATAAATAAATTCTGCTGTGCTCAATTACTGTACTGATCCCTGAGACAGGGTTGGAGTTTTGGAAAAGTTGTTTTTCTAATGCATTACTCAATTATTCAATTTTTGTTTGAATCCAAAATCAAAAGAAAAGAAAGGAAAATCTTAATTTTTCCGTGCAGGAATAGGTTTAGTTTTGCAAAAGGTTGCAGCTACAGTTCAGTCAACTCACGTTCAACCGTTTATTGCGGTAGTAGAACATAGGTGGAGGGGCTGAAGCAACTGGCAATGGGGTCGATGGGAAATTTCTCTCTGCTTTAATAGGCTGCCTAATAAAGTGGGTGTGTATAATAGATGATTGTGGACAATGATGTATGTCACATGATGTGTGTCACATGATTGGAGCAGCGCAGCTCCAGTTGGCTGCTTGAACTAGCTCGCAGGGTTCGCTCCATTTCACGTGAACAGGGCTCCACAAGTGAGAAACACAAAATGTGCGATTCAAATCTCTGATTTTGCAGCTGAATGAAATCACCAAAGTTGCTTTCATTTACCCAAATGAGGATGTGAATGTTTTCCATCCAATAGTTTCCCAGATATTTCAGAGGATTGGTGGAAAAAACAACATCAAGATAAGTTAAGAGAATCCTATATTAGACCCACACTAGGGAAAATGTGCAATACTACAGCAGCTTAATAGGCATCAGTAAGTATTAAGAAACATGCAATACTTAAGTGTATGAATATAAAAATATGAATGGAATAAAAACTACTATATACAGTTTTTAACAAGAAAAACATGTACAGTAAATGGCTTGCACATGAACCATTGTATTGCACAGACATAATGAAAACTGCACAATTAAGAGAGTTAAATCAGAGTGCGGTTCATAGTGGGTTAGAATGACTGTCACGTGATGTAATCATCTGCAGTCCAGATTTCTCGTGTTTGGAAACAGGCACACGAGACAATGTATATACTGGAAATGGATTCACTCACATATTCAAATAAAACAAAAGCTAATCCCGCTTTGACTGTTTTCTGGGACACAGATAAGGGGATTCTAATGAAACAACACAGGAGACAGAAGGACGGGCATTCCACTTGCTGCCAATCATACCCATGACAGCAAAATATAAATAAACAGCGAGATATTCCTCAACCTATTTTGCAGAATTAGACGATAATAAAGAAAGCCTTTGATTCACTCTCTCTTGGTGTCATGGGGGGGGGGCCTCGTTAACAGATTCTGCTCGGTGCCAGTTTGAAGCAGATTCCTCTCTTTCTTGACAAATATTTTGGTGTTTTGACAAGTTGCTTTTATGGGGACGCTGTTCTTAGACACAAGCAGCACGCCGTCCTCCTTCGAACCCGGCTCTGGTTTGGATAGCAGACTTTGATACGGGCCGGTTCTGGCACTGCTGGCCGCTGCAACCACCTGCCATTGTCTGCACGCTGCATTGTGGAGGTATGAATAAATCAACAACCGCTCCCCTATCAGTCCCTTCCGTTAGCGAGGCCGTGCCATTAGCATTTCACCGTGTGATTTATGCCAGGCTGCTTCCTAAAATGAGCTTTCTCTCCCGGACTGCACCCTCCGCCTCTGAACGTGTCTGGCATCTCAGTGTCTTCATTAACTTCAAGGATGCCTTTGCATGTTTTGTAATTCACTCTGTTGGTTTCTTATCAACCCCCCCCACCCCCCACCCTTGTGTTCTTTTTATTTCCAAACTCTTCTCTCTCTCTCTTTCTCTCTATCTCAGGTTTGAACACTTCAGGTGTCACTTGTTCCTCCCGTTTGTATCTGTTTCCTGCCTCTGTTGTTGTCACACTGCTCTACACGAGAATCAGTGAGGAAAACAAGCTCTCCAGAGTAACTCCTGCACACAACAGAATCGAGAGTGTGCTCTGTACAGTTTCACTTCTACCGTTTGTCTACACATCAATACAAGATAACTGTGATTCATTTACAAGACAATGTCCCTGGACGTCTCTTAACTGGGACACTTCTGAATACTGTAAAAACTTTGCTGGTTTTGGAAAAGTGGCCTAATGTGGCATTATTGCTCACTCATTATCTACTCACCACTATACTGATGGAGGGGTGGGTGAAGTGTTTGAGTCCACAAAACACTTTTGGAGTTTCAGGGGTTAAAAAAACTTAACATGCCTCCATACTGCTCGTGTGGTGTCATCCAAGTGTCCACAAGCCCCTCTCACCCACCCTTCTATCGGCATGAGTAGATAATGAGTGAATTTCCGTTTCCTTCCTTTTGTCTTTGCTCAAACTCACAGTATGAACCTCATGGTGGCACTAAAGGAAAAGTCAGAGTTCATCCTCTGAGGAAACACAGTCAGTTCACCAAAACACAAGCAAAACGGTTGTGTTGGTGATAGGGATCTTAAAGGGTTTATCCTCTGGATACCACAGTCATGCTGCCATGACAGCAGCTTTAGTATGTTTGTATCAATTTGTCCTCTAATTTGGATTCAGAGCTGTGGCATGATCATAACAGTAGAGATCATAATCACAGAGATGTCAGGTACTCGTGAGCGTGCATCAACACTCTCCCTCCTACAGGTCGTGAATGTCATGTACAACAACATGTTTTAGCGTAAAGGCCCGTGCACCACCTGAGGAGTCCCCGTCTGCTCCGGCTGTGCGCTGGCAGAATGGCTGGCTGGGAGCTTTAGGCGGGTCTTCATCCGCATGCTGCTCAGACAATCTACCGAGGGGCCCGAGTGACTGACGCATGGTTGCCGTGGCAACAGTGGTTTTAGAGGCGCTGGCTATGCGGCGAATGAGGCGGGGGCTGAGTGATGGAAGGTGTGATTGAGGCAGTGATCTCTTACGTAATGATTCGCCGAGAGACGATGAAAAAGGAAACCACGCAGCAGGTGATGATTTCCAGTGTGTGTCTGTCTCCGGTAATCAAATCCCTGTACAGAGACGTTCTCTGCAGTTAAACTTGGGGGAAGACTCCCTGTGTATCTGGATCACTTGCTTCTTGTGTGATCTGTGTTTGCCTTTTGCATGCATTATAACGTTAATCCATTTCCTGTCGCTGTGCTACCTGAGAGCAGAAATAGTTCATATTTGGAAAGGTGCCTTTTATAAAGATACAGAGCTTGAGCAAATATTTTAAAAATAGACAGTTGTGCTTTTGAGCAGCTTTATAAAAAAAAAATATATATATATAAATATATATATGCCAGAAATCCTGTAGTAGCCTCTCACTGAAAGTATAATAGTCTAACTCCAATCAAGCAATGGTTATAATAACTCTTCAAAACCATTTACATATTGCTTAACGTGCGATTCACCAGAATATAAATTAAAGTGAATTTTAATCTATACTCTTTTTTATTTAAATGATTAAAAATGTTGGGTTTTCCCTATTTTTTTCGATCCCAGAATATAACTCCCTCCAGGTTATTAAAAATGTTACGAGGACATTACCTCAGTGTTAATAATCGTTACTGCAATTCTGGCCCTATGTTATCTAAATCTTTTCCAAGGCAATCGCAGGAGGGATTAGGTTGGAGTTAAATTAGATGTCTTGCTCAAGGGCACTTTAATAGGGCAAACATCAGTTAGATTACTGCTCGCCCTGAGGATAAAACCTGCGATGAGCCCAACTCTGTGACCACTGAGCCTCCCTGGGTTACTAACAGAAGTATTGCCCAGGATAAAGTGACGGGTCAGCAAGGCAAGTTGGCCTCAGTGCCACATCTCTCTGTCTTTATGCTTTAATCAGAAGTATGAATGGCGCGCACTTGCACACAAGCTCACAAACAAGGTCAAGGGCTGCATGGATCTAAAATACACATGTGCAAAGATAGAGCTAGCATAGTGAGGATGGGAAAATTAGCTTACGGTAGATCTCCAGCACGACCGAGGACTCCTCGGTATGACCGCTGGCGTCCGTGGCCTGGCAGCGGTAGATACCTGCATCCTCAATGATGGCGTTGTAAATGATAAGCCTGGACCGCGACATCTCCGTGTGAAGCGTCATCCGCTTGGATTGCACGATGCGCTCGCCCTGGGGGTTGTACCACTCCAGCCTCACTGGCTCGCCAATAGCTAGGAAGGAGAGAGAGACAGAAGGAGAGATGCTGATTAAAATCTTACTTCTTCTTACTCAGCAAGTCAGGATCATGTCTGCCTGAAATATGATCGCCTTGCAGATCAATTCCAGTAGATGAACTGGCAGGTTTTTTAAAAGGTTAAATACTTTAGTCCTTGACCCATTACTCTGTAGAGAGCAAATTTCTACTGATTGAATTTTTTGGAGGATATTTTCCACCATCATTGCAAACATCACAGATAATACAGAGGGAAGAACAGGGAGAAATTCAGGTTCCCCAGCACTGACTCATTTATAGGCAGCGAATCACCTCCAGATTCTGAAGGAGTTGGAGGTTGGCTTTGTTCCGCTGAACAGCCGAGCACCTTCCAACACAGTTGTTTGAACTTGTGATCAGACGGCCTAAAATCATCATGATGTCATAATCTTGGAGTTACACGGCTAATAAGTCTGTAAAGGAACAGGGGACATATGTAGGCTGTAAATTCCACTCTCGTTTCCAACATCACACACTGAACACTGAAACAGAATCTTGAACACCTGATAGCTGGCGACTGCAGGAGATGATGGGGCCATCTGCAGGCAGCAGGTGCCCCCTGCCTGTCGGTGTGGACGGCCATTACTGATCCCATCAATCAACTGAAGACTTGAACGCGACAGGAAATGCATGGAAGCTTGTCCAGTCCCTTAGAGACAAGTCTCTGAGGATTCAATTATGGAAACAAAACGAAAGAGGAGGAGGAGGACAGAAAATAGAGGCACCACAGATTTGTGACACACATTTTATCCCCGGGAGAGTGGAGGCAGTTTGAATGCTTCCTTTCCGCTCAGTAACAATTGGCCGAGCTTTTAACCTGTGTTTGCTCGCTGGTGCTGGTGTGGATAATTGCCGTGTTTGTCCAGTTATGTAAATACATGATGGCATAAATAATCCCTCAGTTCTTTAGAACACTGGTGTTTAAACGTGAAAATGATTTGCCTTGATGTCTGCTGAAAAACACGCAGCCACCCCAGCATGCTTACACCATTACCATCAAGGATATGATGGTAATGGTGTTAGCATGTGTTGGGCATGTGTCTGCTGCTGGAGGCCAAGGAATGTGATGAGGCAATCAGACACGAGTGTTGCTGCAAAGATATTGTCATGGTTCTCCTCCTCCCTCTGCTTTCATTCACTTGTGGCCCACCACTGGAGCTTCAAGGTTCACATGCATACTCGCCGGGAACAGATCAGTGTCTAAAGTAGCTTCGGGCGTCCCTTTATACCTGTTAGCGTTAAAACGTTATCACCTCCCACCATTTTACTGTCGGCTGACAACAGAGGCAGCTGAATATGTTAAAATTGACGCAAATAGCGTGGTGACAGCCCGTTTGCCTCACAGATGATCTGAGGAGACAGGAGCATGTGTCTTTGCAACTGGATGAATAGCTGGTGGAAATCGCTGTCAACCCGCTCTTAAAAATCTGCATAAGCTCAGGCATTATTATTACTGACTCTCGGCAAAGAAAGAATGCTCTGTGATTGACTCTTCTGAAAGTAGAGTGGTAGAACGGTGCGTATCACTTTTCTAAGTGCCAGCAAAATCTGTGCAAGGCAACAACTGATCATCAGCCTTTTCTCACTTTTGTCAACAAACCCTTCAGCTCTGCGTCATTTTTGAAATTTTAATGGACAAGGAACCCAGCTTTGTAAGCTCTGGAAGGTCTAAGAAAACTTTTTCGCAGTTAGAGTTAGAGAATATATTAAAGCTGCTGAAATAATGAAGCCATCTCAGCCTCCTACACAAGGCACATTTATCGACATTCGACGTGCCAATATTAGCCGAGCCCAAGCTGAAACGCTCCTGTCCCTGCAGTGGCTGGCAGAGCTATGGTGGTAATTGATTTAGGCCTCCTGGGAATGAGTTAGCACGGGAGAAGCAGGGAAGGAGGAGCACTGGTATGTGCATAGGTTGACATGATGTCAAAATTATTGGTTAAGTATCTATCAAACTCTTTATCGGGTGTCATATATACGGCTAATTGTTAAAAGTAGATGTACTGGCCAAGTGACACGACCTATAATACTGTTGTTAGACATATCTGAGGAATAGAAACAATCGCTGTTGGATCTGGTTTCTCTCCTGAGCCTGCATTTGCAGCTGCATCTGTTTTTTTCGCAACCAACATGTGTTCTGGCTCTCTGCCACTTTAGTCAATAGGGAGGTTAAACACACACTTAAGCACCAGTTTATCCACCTCCTTATTTGTCTCGCCGCACACACAGCTTTGTTTCATGCTCGCACAAGACCAATTTCACATCAGAGAAATGTCTAGACGTCTGTTTGTGCTCCTACAAATGGTTGACTTCATCATTTTAAAATAAACAGATAGATTCTCAAAGAAAACTACTTTTAAAATGATGTGCTTGCATCAGATATCAGCAAGACACAGCATCCAGTTATCAGGGTGACAATCATTGCAGCCTCTGTTTGTGATGGTTGCCAGGTTTGTGAAAAATCAGGTCTTGGTTGGTCGTTATTTTTTTATTTTGTCACCAGTCTGTGAATGGAGCATACCTATATATGACTGGGTTTGTATTTTACTGTGGCCCTGTTAGAAGAGCAGCACGGCTAACACCAATCCTTACACATCATCACATACTGCGTTGCATCTTCCGTACTCTGTTCAAGCAGTAATGCAGCTCAGAACATTTTTCTGAATGCAGTGCCTGGTCCTTCTTGCACACTTTACCATTTTCCCTCTTCTTGATTCAAATCTTCATTGTGAAACATCCTTTCAGGGCACTTTGCTGTGAGGGCATGAAATAGACAAAAAGAGCTGTTTATTGCAGCGAGACGCGATTGATGAAAGCTAATTGCGCTGAGGGGACGTCCTTGTAAAGACAAGAATCAATGAGCGGTTTTGAAAATGAATACTTTTAGCTGCTATGTGACAGAGATATAAATAATAACATAATTAATATTATGTCCTCAGTGGAAAAGGAAAGGACAATATCACTTTTCTTAATTAAAATGCTCCCTGGCACCTTAAGGTTTTGACCATTATTTCACTTCTCACACACATTGTCTAATGTCTGATAACAAATGAACCCCTGTTGGCAGCTTGTTGAACGTTTTTCCGCACAAAAGAGAAACCGTGAGTTTTTGGGGGTGTTTTGGCTTCTTTTTGGCTAATTTCTATTAATAGCTATCTGCGTAGGACTGCAGAATAAAAATGCTTCTATGCTCCTCCCTAAAACAATAAAATGTATTCAGAGTACCAAAAAGTAAGTCATCATAAAAAGAAGAAAGTAATATGAGATATTGCACATGATATTGAAATTAATACACACCATTGGGAAAAGAAAAACAATAATATTGCACTTCTATTGTAAGACATTATTGTACGGTGTGGTGATAAGATTATTTCGCAAGCGTCCCGGTACAAGACCTTTGAGTGTTCATGAACAAATAAGAAACCCTCAAGGCTGAAGATAAGAAATTGAGTAAAATCAAATAGAAATCCATCCCAGTATTTTGAGTGAGAAATGTGAAAATGAAAGAGAAGAAAGACCTTTGATGGATAATTTTGTGGACATGTCGGACAATCATGGCCAAACAAGGACTTAAAACTAGTTGAGAATAATTTTTAAATATTGGCAGATAAATGCAGATGGCGGACTTAGCAGGAAATGCAGCAAATAAATAAATATATAAACAGACTTACGGTCACTGTAAAAGTGAAGCAGGAGGAGAACACAAGCAGAAAAATAAAGAGACAAACTGACAGGATGGAAAGGAGACAAGGAGACACAGGTGTGACACATTAGGAAGCAGGTGCAGGTAAAGGAGGCGCAGAAGCAAGAGGAAGTGACAAACAATTAGACACAGGAAAGTCAAAATAAAACAGGAAATGACTCAACACAAGGATCACAATAAAATAAGAAACCTTGAGGCAGAGACACAAAAACCTAAATATAGAGCATTTCAAAACATAAATCAAAAGTCCAAAAGGTTTCAAAACCAGGGAGGAATCACGACAATGTTGAATGTTTATAATAACCTATGCTTCATTCTGCTGTGGGCATATAAAAATGGAAGAAAGCTCATAAAATATGAAAAATGAATCGTCTGGAAAACATTTTGCTCCATCAGCGTCTGACAGGATTAAACAAAAACTTTTTTTCCAAACCTAAACTTTACTTTTTATGTTATTTAGTCCCATCTATTGAAAGCTATGATATTTAAAGGGGCTTTTAGAAAGCAGATAGAACTAACATATTTAAAATAAATATGACCTGACCTCGCTGCTGCTGCCTTGCCCAGCATTTGACTTTGCCCCAAAACCTTTTAGAAACAATTTACAAGAAAAATGGACTTCACTGAGGACCCTCACTTTCAGAACAGAACCTCTGCGTTCTGCCTTTCCTCACAAACGTGCCCTCCTAAAAGTGCCCTCGTGTGCTTCCTGCTCCATTCTTCTAATCAGGATTATATTTACCTGGACATGATCCTTACAGTGGGACACGGCTATGTAAAGCCAAAAAGTCACTTTCATAGAATAACTCTTTTTTATGTTTGCAGGCTTTGCTTCTGTTTTACCGGGACTCTGACTGTTCTGCCATGCTTTACAGCAGACCCCAGTTGGCTGAGTTACATGTGAATATGGTCAAAAAGAACATGTCTGAATGCCAGCGGAGGACAAGGGCAAAAGAAAACAACAAACAACACTTCACTTTGATGATGGATGGAGGCAAATGCTCTTCTACCTCAAAGCCTGTTTCCATTCTTCTTGCTTCTGAATGTTTTTAAAGTAAAAGCTTCTACCTTTGCCTTTTAGTTCCTGCCAGTTTCTTTCCATTCACCTCTATTTTTTATTTCTACCTCCCATTCTGTCCTCCTCAGCATTACGGCGCCACACCGACGCCCCCTCCCAGTGTGCCTGGCCTCCCCTGGCTGTTAGCTCCATGCTGAGTGGGTTGGCGGGAGAGAAGAGGCAGTCTGCAGGAGGCGGGCTGGGCCTGCCAGAGTGTGTTGCCACCCCACCGAGCCACTGGCACGGGCGTCAGGTGCTCTGCTACGGCTGAGTGCTGATACGGCGTTCAGAAAGGACACGGAGGAGGAGCGACGAGGGGAGCGGGGCCGTCCCCTGTGAGGATCTAGTCATCGCTGGGTCGTAGAGTCACTCACCATATGGACAGCATCGATTGTGCTGCGATCGTCAAATCATACACAACAAACAGACTTCACAAGCGCCAATGCAACCCCCCTGCTGCCTCTCTGACCTGCCTCCAAACACACACACATGCATACAGACAGAAAACCCACGTCAAAATGAGAGTCTGCGGCGTTTCTACCTGTGCAGATGAAGAATTTGGACTCTCCGACACTTAACTCCACTTTGTTCAAGGATATGGAAACCTGCAGGGCGGCTGTAGCAGAGAGAGGGGGACAGACAGAAAAGGAAAAATTGATTAGTTATTATAACAGAACAGAGCACAAAAGATTGTCATTGTTTGCTGACTGCAGAGACATAATAATACAAAATTGCTTTGAAAAAGTTTCAGCCTGCGAAGCAGTGTGGCTCATTTCCTTCTTTATGCCACATTTTATTTTTCATTATCCGAGGACCATTTTCTGTGTGCCACCATTTACTGCAATTATTTGAAAGGCAGGGTGCAGTTTACATGCAAATATCCATCGATGAAAATAAGGGGCTTCTTAGAAATAACCAATTTTGCAGCTATTTATCAGAGAGTTGTGTTTTTCATCGACATTTCCGTATTGTGATATTGAGTTTACCCCTTCCTCGTGTATTTTCGCCATCTTTTAAATGAGCAATTGAACAGTTTTTACTTTTTTTATTCAAACTTAATATGAAAATTTATATAACTGCCTCACAAAGCGTTGCAACACATTGGCTGTATCGTCTAACAGGCACATGGGTGTTTGTGACAAGCTTGCCAGTCAGCTCCGCAATGAATGGGATCCTTTCAGCCTGAGGTGCTGTAATGCTATTTGCAGTTATCACTCTCAACAACGGTTTATGAATTGAACAACAGACGGATGGAAATTTAACAAGGTAAGAAATAGCAGGGATCAGTGAATACTTCAACTTGTGCTGGTATTTCCCTTTGGTGACAAATAACCATCGTGCAAGGCTCTAACAAACCGAGAGCCTCCGTGACAAAAGCTGACTGGATATATTCGCTGGAAGACGAAGGTAAAAAATGGACCATCATCCTGCAGGCGGTGGCAGTGCCACATAATGTGCAGAGTCAAGCGACAAAGCCTCTTTTGTAAGCGCCGCCATAACGCCACACAATAGGGGGCTCCAGGTGAGGCTTTTTTAAAGTTGGCGTGAAATGTAGCTGAATAAAACTGTGGCTGTCAAATGGAAGACAGAGAAGAAAAAATCTAGGAGGTAAAGATAGGGAATGTGGAGCAGGGAATGTGTCTAGATGTCTAATGTGATGAGTAACGATTAGAAACTCAGTGGGGAGGGGGTCATTTTTAGGTTAGAGCCTATTGACGCAGCAGTAGTCTGAGTGTGGCGAGATATTTGATGAGCCTGTCACATCTGAGCCCCCCCATCCTTGGCCCACATCTAGTTAGCATCAAACTCTGAACACACATTCACACACACAGTCTGTAAAACACTGTAATGGATGTTAATTCTCGCCACAACACTGGAAATGTAACAGCGGAGCTCAGGGCGCCTGTCAATAATTGAGAAAATGATGAAATAATTATCTGCTGCTTCTCTGGAGGGGGGGTGGGGTGGCTGCAGACAGCAGCAGCACCACAGTGAGGCTGCTCTCTGGCATTTATCATGGGGAGCCATCTGTCCTGAGTGGAGGCTGCCTACAGATGGCAGTAGAGGGGCACCGCTGCTGCCGCAAACCTTAGGGGGCGATATAATGAGTCGAGGAGAATAGCAATATCAATGTATTTGATTGGATTCATGCCGTGTAAGACACACACACACACAGAAATCCTTACCATGAAGCAATTGTCTTAATGGTCCACAATGTATACGACTATTTAAAACTGCTTATATTTAGCATGTAGCATGCAACCAACTGAGACCCAGTTTATTGTTTACACACACACACACTGTTTCCAAAAAATAAATACAGATACTGTTCTAGGGTTGATTAATCATGTCTGTTTAACCTTGCACCCTTCCACACTGCCTGCCTCTGACTTAAGGCTGATCAGATCAGTGCTTCAAGTACTCTAACGGTTTTCAATTATTAATTGATCCGGGTCTGTTTGTGCTGCATGTGATTGATCGCGTAATAAGTTGCTCACAAAACCCGGAAGGGGAAAAAAAGAAAAATGGGCTTTTTCTCTCTGCCGCCGGAGTCGTTGGTGTGAATCACATAATTAAGTTCAACCTGGTAAATGCAACTGTATTTTTTCAGCTGAAACAGTCCCTGCAGCGAGTACACGTTGACATTTTAACGAGAATGCAGACTGGATTTGAAATATGACACGGGAGAATTTGTTTATTCAACCCGTCTCACCTGGTAGGGACACAAAGTGACATGCTAATTTGACAAACTTGCAGAAATTGAATGTTTTCTGTCTCGTTCGTCTGGTTATTACAGAGCTCGGGTCAATATGTTATGAGCCTGAAAGCAATTATCAGCTGCAATTATCAGCTGCAATTATCAGCTCCTCCAAAGGAGCATTGGTGACAAGTGAAATAAGACAACAAACAAAACCATTGATTGCCATCTGTTACATGTCAGACATGGTCGATGCTGTACGTGAATTGTCAGGTCGCCTAACGACATGGAGACTTGAACAAAAAATCTATTTTTGAATACGAAAAATAAAAATAAAAAGATTATGGATCATTTTGCTGCTGGTTCAGATATCACCCAATTGACCAGGATTAATGTTGCCTAAAGTTGACCTGACAAACATTTAAGAAATAAATAGAAACAAAAGAGTTTCTCAACTCAGTACTCACTGAGGTTTTTCTGCTACTGAACACATTAATACATAACAACAACACAGACGAGACAACGTGTATCCACTCTTGGGCAATGACGCATTCGGAGCCAGAGTCTACGCAGTGGAGGGATGGAGCTGCTGCATGTTCGACCAATCCTGAGTCAGGCTCAGCTGTCAATCATGTACATTGTATTATATCATCAAATAACTCATTTAAACTCACTTTTATTTGATGAACCTTAGGTAATGTTGGCAGACTTTAAATGTTAAGTTTAATATCAGGCACCATTTTTTTTACATTTATTGTCTAGTGCATTATAACTTTTCATTTCTTCTGAATGTCACCGCCAATATTAGTTTTCAATGTGAGTACCACTTTTTCTATTTTAGCTTACATACATAGTTATTTCAATTTCAGTTCTGGTGTTTTATTATGCATTCTTTCTTTGCATGAACTCCGATTGTATATCTTATGTTATTCTCTTCTTTTCTACTTTTTAGAATTCTGTTTGTGTTGCCAGAGGACGCAAATACTTTTGAGCAAAAGTAAAACTAATGAAAGCTGCTTTAGTTAATCTTTTACTTTCAGCAGCTTGACGACAGCCTGTCGTAACGTGAAAGCCGCTATCCCCTCGAGTGAACGCAACTTTGGTTCATTCTTACAGCCCTCGTCTGCATCACTTCCCTACAGCAGTCAACCGTTCACACTGCCTGCACAGCGCCAAATGGCCGTCAGACAAGTTCGCAACTACCTGACTTAGCAGCGATGGAGCCAAATATCTCCCTCAGGTGTTGGTGGAGACCAAAGCAGAGCTGCCAGAAACATGAATCCAAATGAATACCCATGTTGCTGTGTGTCAGCTGGATGACGGTTTTCTACCACATCCATTGAATCACTTTATAGGGTGATTATATGCCAGTGCAGTGTTTACAGCTTGTTTCCTTAACGGCCAATAAACTCCATTGATGAAGAATTAAGCAGAAGTCAGCACTCTGTTCTGGAACAGCTCGAGCAATCAGTGTGAGATCTTCTCTTTGATAACCCCGACCGTCCAGTGAAAAGAAAAAAAAAGAACATACAGGGTGAAATTTACTGACTTCAAGTCACTAAACCTTTTGGACGTTCTTGAAACGATGCCAAATCAATATATTCCACAAATTGAGGTAATTGGGGTCACGGTGGAGGAGCTGGCCTACCTGACATGACTCAGGAACATCTGGATTCGCTGCAACAGTGTTGGAAACTTAAGTCCTGAGGAGACTAAAACAACCTGAACATTGCATTCAGGAGGCGGCTGGATCCTGCGTTTGATTGACAGCGTGGAAGGTGTTCAATCAGCTGGCAGCCACGTTAAAATGCGATTCTCTAATCCTGTGCTGCCGTAAAAGCCCCATTAATGCCGTGGCCAAATAAAAGGCACCAGAGAGAACATGCTTTTGTGTGTTTGTGTTTGTGCATAAGGGTGCGCGGGGGCGTATGTGCTTCACTTCTACGTGTGTGGGCAGCTGTGAGTGTGTTGGGTCCGTGCGCATGTGTGTAAATGTTTTGAGCACACGCAGCCGATAAACGCCCTGAGGCAAAAAAAAAAAAATGCTCTGCTTTAATTATTTGTGATTTAGCGAAGGAGTTGAATTCTTCCCTCGAACCACGGAGACTGAGAGAGAGACAAAGACAAGAAGTGAGAGTGGGGAGAGTGGGCAGAGCGTGAGCGAAAGAGGGAAGGAGATAAAATACTAATTACTATGTTCTGTGTGCACCCGGACCTGCGTGTGTTAGGAAAAAATGATATCCAGTAAGAAATTAGCTTTTGAACAGTGAGCGCTGTTTGAAGCCGTCTCTCAGGTGAGCAGAGGCACCAGGTGCCGAGGGATCGACCGTTGACGGGGATTTCTTTGTTGGAGAAACATTTGTAACACAATTGAGCATTTCTTTGTTGTTTTAACAATGTTTTCCGTTAAAAGCACAAAGCTGAACCAGGACAGTTATATTTATTCATTTATGGATTGATTTATGGAATCCTTTGTACAATCGCCCTTGTTTTCTCCTCCATGGCAACATGTCCGATTGTTTGACTGCTCCTGTTTTTTTTTTGCTAATCACACTGATTGTTGATGTTATTAGCCTGCGCTTGTTGGTTTAGCAGGATTATGCAAAAACCACTCAACGGATTGCTGTGCCATTTTGTGGAGAGGTGGGACATGACCTGAGAAAGAACTCGATCTGGATCTTGACGTAAAGAATCAGGCATATTTGGAGATTGATAAATATGAATGTGTGTAATTTGGTGCAGATACAAAATAAAAATATGAATCTAATGAATTGCAGTGGAATTTCATAAAGGGGCTTTCTTGGTGAGGTAATAAGGTAAATGGTATGTATTAGCTTTTCAAGTCTTGATGACCATTCAAAGCACTTTACAGTAAAGTTTTGCCCGACACCATTCACACACACTTTCATACAGTGCAT